ATTTTGAATGGTTGAAATCGATTTCCTAGCATTTGAGGTCATTTCTGAAGGAAATCTACTCTTTTAATTATTTTTAAATCCTAGGCTTTCTCCTGGGTATCTGTTGTATAGGCTCCACATTAGCAGGAGGAGGGGGATGGGGTGGTCTGAACCCCCTGGATGCGAGCCTGTTAATCCAACCTTCTACTGAAATATATTCTCCTAGGAAGTCTTAATACGGATAAATCGAGTTTAGTGAACAGCTTAAACTTGTATAAGTACACACTTAACAAGAACAAACCACAAGTCAAGATTATAATCCTCCTTGCACGTATCTTAAAACTGCAGATTTCAATCTAGTGTGGAAATTCTTTGAACTCATATTATATAATCCCGTGCATGGATCCAAGTCCATAATTTGTATTATTCATAGTCTGACCCCGCTTCGTTGGTAACTTACCAATGAATATATCAATCAAGAGATTTACTGTAAATATCACCATTGACAGACAGATCAAGTATATAATCGTGGGTTTACTACCGGTTTGTAAACCTCGTCTGGATTTTAAGACCTTTTGAAATATATAAATCCTTCCTTTGATTGTCTTTTCAACAAGACACGACCACTTGCTGAGATCTTTTGCGTTTTAAAACGCACCAATTGTAAGCTTTCTCTAATTTGAGGATTAGGATTTATACGCGTAGATGTATCTGTCTGTTGCAGCACGAAACATTATATATAAATCTCAATAGATCTGTTGACGATCTTATGGATTTGTTGTCCCCCAATTAAGTACTGACACCAACGTCTTAAATAAATTTGAGGTTTAACGCCTTACTTTCCTGCCCCGACTGTGCTAATGAAGACGGGTATACACCATGGAGTGTTCTACGAAGGAAACATTACCCGGACAGCTGCACTACAACTTACTGTTATATCGAATTCCAACTGCCAAGGGTTTTTTTCGTCCCATCCGAACGACTAGACAGGTGTCCTTGTTCCAACGTCTTAACGCTTAAAGCGGGAATGAGTTTTTTTTTTTGTAACGTTACTTCTGGGAAACAGAGATTATTTTTTTTATCCCTCTATAACGTTACTTCCTGGAAACAAACGTTATCTAACAGTTTAGTACGTGAATAATACCCATTTTTTTTTATCTTTCTATAACGTTACTTCCTGGAAACAAACGTTTTTTTTTTTGTAACGTTACTTCTGGGAAACAGAGATTATTTTTTTTATCTCTCTATAACGTTACTTCCTGGAAACAAACGTTATCATTTCTTTTACTCTCAATAACGTTACTTCCTGGAGACATACGTTATTATTTGTTTTGCTCTCTATAAAGTTACTTCCTGGAAACAAACGTTATTTTTTTTTGCTCTCTATAACGTTACTTTCTGGAAACAAACGTTATTTTATTTTTACTTTTTATAATGTTACTTCCTGGAAACAAACGTTATTTTTGGTTTGCTCTCCATAACGTTACTTCCTGGAAGCAAACGTTATTGCTTATCTCTCTATAACGTTACTTACTGGAAACAATCGTTATTTTGGTAGCCAAGGTTTTATACGTTGCATGGGTGAGACAGTGCTTTACTCTCTGACATACACATTGGGGTCATTCTGCACACAGAGATCCCTCTACTTCATACTTCGAGAATAGATCTCTGACCTAAATGACGCCATATCCAAAAATTAGTATACTATTTTGTAATGCGGTTATACTCCGTTTCACATCTTTCGTACACACGACGATTAAATATATATTTTCAATTTTGTTAATTAGAAGCGAGATAAATACTTCAAAAAATTCTCGAAGTATACTTAATGTTTTCGACTAAAGCCGTCGAATTAGAACTCAAAATATCGCTCAACTAGCTTAGTGCCTGTTCTTGAGTTGCGTATGATACACACACAGTTAGATAAAAATATTTCCAGAGAGGAAGCAGAAGCGAAACAGACAAAATAACCCAGAATATTTTTGGTGTTGGCGATGAGTGTACCCGGTGGGCGGACGAGGATATACATATTGATTATATCTGAGTCAGGGATAGATAATTATATATAATAGGTTGATATCATAGATCAAAGTCGTTATATAACAATTTTAAAACTATAACTAATGAAAAGATATTATCTGTGTATGAAATATCCGTATACAGGATTAGGGGAAGGAATAAAGGAATGTGTGGATAAGTGAGTGTGCGAGGGAATGAATGAATGAATGTGGGAGGGAATGAATAAGTGTGAATAAAAAGCGTAAGATATCCGAAGAGAGAGAGAGAGAGAGAGAGAGAGAGAGAGACCTATTCCTTGTTATGTACAAGCTAAGGTATATCCAACTCGTACGGTTTAGACCATTGGAGAGCAATAGATTAAATATAAGAGACAGGGTTGCCTTCGGGTGTTTCTCTCACGTGGCGCGAATTTCCGCCTTTATTAACCCCGCTGGCGCAAAAAAAGTAGAACGTTAAAAGCATTTCATTTCATTTCACTTTGAAAATATTCAATAAATATAGTTATATTATGTCACCAAAGCATGTATATTTATATACGTGTTCGATTCCTGTATTTTTCGATGAGATTTCCCCTTGTCAGTAGACAGCTGTCTAGTCGTTCAGATAGGACGAAAACCCGAGGTCCTGTTTGCCCATTGGTGTGCACGTAAAAGAACCCCTGACGGTAGGAAGTCGATATAAGTGTAGGCCGTAGTGCCGCTCCCCGGGCACAATTGCCCCCATAGCACAATGTGTAGCATATGTCCGTTTACATTTGCCCAGTCGGAGCAGAACAGTAGGACGTTAAACCCCATTTCATTTCATTTCATTTTAGATTTAGACAAAGAAGACAGTATTTATACCGACTAAAATCTATAAAGTTTGAAAAAAAAAGACATTTTCAGACGTGAAAGGTCGCCGCATTCATCTCACCGAGAAAAAACGCAACAAATCCTGACTCATCTAATAATAGTACACCGCTTGAATAAATATAAAAAAATACGTGTTCGACTTTTAAAGCAACCTTTGACATAACACAATTTTAAAAGTACCTCCAATGATCACGATTGTGTCAGTTATAGAACACACTCTAAATTAAATTATAGTAGGCTACCGTCGGTACTAAAAGGACTATCAAATTATACGAAGTGGCCGTCGATACTAAACGACAGTCAAATTCAAACTCAGCAAATTTGAGAAATGGAGATTAACGTCCATTCGACACAAACTAGGGCATTTCGGGACTAACACATGGTTCAATTTTATTTCAATAATTCGCTTGCGCGTTGGGGTCTTTAGCAGTGGAAGGAAACCGGAGGACCTGGAGAAAATCCGCGAGGTTGGTCAGGCGACCCTACTCCTTGTCACGTACAACCGCGGAATCGAAAAATTATAAAAAAAAAAGATTATGTGTGTTTCATCAGGGGAACGTAACAAAGTCAGATACATTCACAGGGCAAAGTGGTATCAGGTGTTTCGAAAAGAGTAAGTATACTCTGCTGTTTCACAACGCTCGTCACCTTTATTATAACACTCATGCTGGGTGCAGACAAATCAGTATTTGTGAAATATACATGTAACGGTAAAAGACAGATATTTCATAATCTGTATATAATTTCTTATACAGCTCTTAGCTCGGGTGTGGAATATTCTTGTCTTTTGGGAATGAAATAAATTGGATTTAACGTTCTACTGTTCTGCAGCGACTGGGTTAATGAAGACGGGTGTTGTCTTCTGGATGTAAAATATCCTTGTTTTTCATGTGTGAAATATCCTAGTCTTTCTTGCGTGAAATATCGGTGTCTTTTGGTTGTTAAAAATCCCTGTCTGTTAGTTAAATATCCTTGTCTTTTGGGTGAGAAATATCCTTGTCTGTTGGGTGTTAAATTTGCCTTTATTTCGTGAGGTGAATATCTTTGTCTTTCGGATGTTTTATATCCTTGTCTTTTGAGTGTGGAATATCCATGTCTATCTGCTGTGTCAGGGGGTTAGATGACCAAATGGTTAGCACGTGTGTGCTGTATCATAAGGCCTGTCATTGAGTCAACTAGCGTGGTTTTGAATCCCCGGTTGTACGTGACAAGGAGTAGGGTCGCCTGTCCAACCTCGTGGGTTTTCTCCGGGTCCTCCGGTTTCCTTGGTACCAAGAACTCATCTCGATCTTCTTGTTCTTCTTGGGAAGACGCTCTTCGAAAAAAAAACCTAAGGTTCCATCCATGCAAGCCCGATTGAAATTGACATGAAAATTGGCATGCGTTTTCTTTGAACAATTCTGCGTCGATTTGGAGAAGTAGAATTTTGAATGGTCAGTTCCTGGCCCATAGTACGATTGTTCTTGCTTTTAAAAAATTTATTCGGGGTATCTGAATGGCATTGGGGAACAGTTTTGTCTATACGGGTGAATGAATGGACCGAAACACCACGGTCCGGGCAAAAGTGTCCTCATAGCAAACGACATGGCATTTGTCCATCTTCATTAATCCGGTGGGTGCAATAAAGTAGGACCCCACTTCATTTCATTTCATTTTCTTTACAGAAATATTGTAAACCACCCAAGCCTCATTGAAAAATGGAATAGGGTTAGTTTTTGATAAATGCTATAAGATCCCTTGGCAGTTGGAATTCGATATAAGAGTAGGCCGTAGTGCCGCTGTCCGGGCAAAATTTCCCTCATAGCACACTGTATGGCGTATGCCCGTCTTCATTAGCCCAGTTTAGGAGCAGAACAGTAGGACGTTAAACCCCATTTCATTTCATTTCCAATAACACACAGACAAAAATGATAAAATTAAAATATTTACAACGATTTAAAACTACTGGGGACAGAGATGAAATGTTAGAGAATAAAAAGCCCAGTTTAGGAGCAGAACAGTAGGACGTTAAACCCCATTTCATTTCATTTCCAATAACACACAGACAAAAATGATTAAATTAAAATATTTACAATGATTTAAAACTACTGGGGACAGAGATGAAATGTTAGAGAATAAAAAAGATTTTCTTTAAAAAAAAAAACAACTTACGTTTTGTGATAATCCGGAAATGAAACACTATATATATTAATCCAAACAAAAGTAAGAGAAGAGAAAGAGTTTTTGTCGATGGGAAATATCGATACTATTACACGGTATATTATCCAATCAGCAGTTTAAAGCTCGGTTTGGTCGTCTGCTGTCACTTGCAGTCTGTCGTCTGTCAACTGGTCGACAGCCATTCATACATTCGGGCCAGTCCAAATTTGTTTGTAGGGGTGTTATATTCATTAACCCCGCGGTCATTCATCCCAAAACACATAATCGTTGAACTGTCACTCTTAAAATATTTCAAGAATATTTCATAAAAATAAAAAAATGATCTGTTCAAATCTTATGAAATATATATAAAAAAATAAAATCCTACATAACAACGCCTATGTCCCCCAACCCGGATGATACCAATTTATTAAACATATAATGTTGTTAGGTATTAAAAAATACAATTAAGCTGCCTTACCTGGACAATAAAACATATTTTGTGATGATCACCAAGTCCTTTTATTATATTTGCTCAGTCACCGTGCAGTATTTTCTCAAATAGACGACATTTAAATATATATTATTATCGCAATCTATTTTTATTTTTTTTTGCATCGAGTGTTATTTTATTAAACCCATTCACAACTAGTATTAATACATACGGGTATTACGTCGCCACGCTTTGTCAGACCCGCGTAAAGTGTATAAACATTTTTCACCTCAAGCCGTGTTCCCACTTTTCAGATTGGGCCGTGAACAACTTTGGAGATATGTCAAGCTCGGTTCCCAATGATCAGGGATAACGTATGCGGGGCTGACAAGAAACAAATTCACAACTAGTATTAATACATGTGGGTATTACGTCGCCACGCTTTGACAGACCCGCGTAAAGTATATAAACATTTTTCCCCTCAAGCCGTATTCCCACTTTTCAGATTGGGCCGTGAACAACTTTGGAGATGTCAAGCACGGTTCGCAATCATTCAGGGGTAGCGTATGCGGGGCTGACACGGAAGTCCCTTTAGTCGTTCGGATGGGAGGAAAACCCAAGGTCCCGTGTACGAATTGGTACAGCCCGAAAAATACTCATTGGCAGGTGGAATTCGAAAAAGATTAAATGGACATGTCCCCCCTCCCCTTCCCCGACCATAGAATTACAATAGACATAAGGAAAACTGCACAGCTCCCCACATACATAACAGACGGTACAGGACTGCAACAGACACAACTTCCCAACGAGGATATAACAGGGACATCAGGGACAACTTTAGGATTTATAAATGTAATAAAAGTTGATATGGGTTCAGAATCTGTCTACCCCTCAGATTAGCCGTAAAATATCTCAGGCCAGGTTTATAGTAAGATCCACTAATATTATTCCAAGTAAACATACATTATGTAAGAACTAAATCTGCCTATTGCAAATTTTCCTTTTGGCCTCAAATGTTATATAAGTTATTAATTACACATCTATTTATATGACAAGCCTATAGTCAACTCTATAGATCATCGGAGGGTCGCGATTTTCAATGGATTAAAACAATAATGGATTAAATTATTATTGCCATGTAATAATTTAATTTAAAAATGGATAATCCAGACTTTGTTTATTATCATAACAATGGTACGTTACAATCGAGACTATATTGTGAACACTTAAAGCCCGATTACTTCGCTCGGTAATTTGACTGAAATTTTCAATATATTCATATCTCATTATCAATATTTGAGCTACCGTAGCAAGAATGATCGTTTTTTTTTTATCTAAAATCTTACATAATGCATCTATAAGATATTATTAGATATTAAAGTTGTATCTTCTAGACCAATATAGCCTATTATATCCCTTTGTTCTTAAATATGAAATGAAATGAAATGGGGTTTAACGTCCTACTGTTCTGATCCAAACTGGGCTAATGAAGACGGGCATACACCATACAGTGTGCTATGAGGGAAATTTTGCCCGGACAGCGGCACTACGGCCTACCCTTATATCGAATTCCAACTGTCACGGGATCTTTTACGTGCACGCCAATGTTTTCGACGCATCCGAACGACTAGACAACTGTCCTTGTCAGGCCCCCCGTCCTGCATCACTGACAAGGGGGAACCACGCCGGAAAATCCGGATGAACTTTCTCGGCCAATGCAGGGGTCGAACATCCGACTAAAGTAAGGATAAGAGTTGACACACCAGCGTGTTTCCGTGCAACAAGCTACGAATTTGTGTAATCATCAAGGTCTAAATCGCTGTGTGTGAATAGCTTTATTTAGCGCCCTCTTCTACCGAAATGATATCGTCGACAGTTGCTTCAGTTGGCTTTATGTATTGTTGGGTATGGTAGCTTTCTTCTTTTAGACCACCTGATACCATTTCCGATCGGAGGAGTGTACAGGGCTAACACTGAATGGCGTAGACTTCTTGAATACCCAATACCACCTCTGATTGGAGGAGTGTACACAGCTAACACTGAGTGGGGGCAGTGTAGGCTTTTAGAATACTCAATACCACCTCTTATTGGAGGAGTGTGCATAGCTAACACTGAATGGCGTAGTGTAGACGTCTAGAACTCCCAGTACCACTTCTGATTAGAGGAATGTACACAGCTAACACTGAGTGGGGGTAGTGTATACTTTTATAACACTCAATGCCACCTCTTATTGGAGGAGTGTACATAGCTAACACTGAATGGGGTAGAGTAGGCTTCTAGAACACCCAATACCACCTCTGATTGGAGGAGTGTACACAGCTAACACTGAGTGGAGTAGTGTGGACTTCTAGAACATCCAATACCACCTCTGAATGGGATTGTGTAGACTCCTAGGACATCTAATACCTCCTTTGATTGGAGGAGTGTACACAGCTAACATTGAATGGGTAGTGCAGGAATTTACATAGCGAGCACTGAGTAGAGAAGTGTATACTTCTAGAACACCTGATGCCACTTCTCACTGGAAGAGTCCACACTTACATGTATAACAGTTTTGTTTATAGTTACTAAGAGGAACATTTTCTGAAATATTTTTACAAGATAATCAGCTTTTCATTTTGATTTGATGATATAAACCAACCTATCAGTCGTTTTGTGGACGTTAAGCCCCATTTTGTTCTTCCCTCTCGCTCTCTCTCTCCACTGTTCGATCCCTGCATTGGCCGAGAAAGTTCATCAGGATTTTCCGACGTGGTTTCCCCCTTGTCAGTGGTGCAGAACGGAGGTCCGGACAAGGACAGCTGTCTAGTCCTTCGGATGAGACCAAAACTGAGGTCCGGTGTATACATTGGAATGCACGTAAAAGATCCCTTGGCAGTTGTAATTCAATATAAGTGTAGGCGATATTGCCGCTGCCCGGGAAAAATTTCCCTCATAGCACACTGTATGGCGTATGCCCGTCTTCATTAGCCCAGTATAGGAGCAGAACAGTAGGACGTTAAACCCCATTTCATTTCATTTTCATTTCATTTCTCTCTCTATTGGTCATTAAACATAGTTGATGCACTATGTTCTATATCCCTTCTAAATTATTATCACACAGTTTAAATAACGGTACATTTCTAAATATCCATCGCCTGTGCTGATAGCTTCCTTTCATTATAAAATCGATGAATATGAAGGCAGAAAATGAAGACTAAAAAATTGTTCGTATGTTATATTAGTCAGTTGAATCCGTGAAATACCCATCGAAGAAAAAATATCTTTATATGGATTTTCTCCTTTGCGTCCATCTTGTAAATACACCGCTTATCATCAGATAATATTCCGAGTATTAAAGAGACACACCGCCGCTTAATTACATACCAGCGAGCGCAGCCTATTTCTTACTTGTCTGGGGCTGAGTATATCACTATATGGGTCTAATGTTTTAACGCATGCGCTTTAGATCATTAGGTATCCGTGCAGAAAAACAGGACGTTAAACCCCATTTCGCTTCATTAGGTCTATCATGGCCTGGTTTTGATTCCTCGCTTGTACGTGACAGGGAGTATGGTCGGCTGCCTAATCTCGTGGGTTTTCTCCTGGTCGTCCGGTTTTCTCCCCCTGCTAAAGATCCCTACGGGAAAGTGAATTTTTGAAATAAAATTGAACCATATTTTAGTCCCGACATGACCTAGTTTGTGTCGAGTTGACGTTAAATCTTGTCTGTCTGTCTGTTATTCAAACAACAAATTTCAAACTAAGTGAACAGATTCGGGGACCACCCATTAGAGTCCACTGTACTGTACACTTCCCGGTCTGTAATGATATAGGCTTCACTCAAAATAAAAAACAAAACAAAACGAAAGACATTAGAAATAATGGCGATACTCTGCCATTAATAAGGGCGATAATCCGGATGGAACTTCGAAATACGTTAGAAATTAAACATACATTATGCAAGAGCTAAATCTGCCTATTGCATGTGTTTCTTTAAACCCGAAATGTTATATAAACTATTTATTAGACATTTGTTAACATGACAAGACCATAATCAACTCTCGATGCCATCGGGTGTCTCCGATATTAAGCGGATTAGAACGGTTCAGCCATAATTTGATTTAATTTAAAAATGGCGAAGCCAGGCTTAGGTTCGAATAACTAGTACGATGGTTGCAATTCATGCACATATCTTGCTAAACCTTCAAAGACATCTTCGCTCGCAATAAAGTAATTTGAATGTAATTTTCAATACATTCATTTTGCATTATCTATTTTCGAACAATTATAGCAAGAAGGGCCAGCTCTTTATCTAAATCTTACATAATGTATCTTTAATAAGTAAAGTGTAATGAACGAAATGATTAATGTGTTGTTAAACCTTAATCATTTCTGTTATTTATCTAACAAAACCTGAGTTTAATTAATGTCCCTTTAAAGTCGCCAAGACGTTAACTCAGTATCATCCAGAGTCTTTGACATTGCAAACCCGACATATTGGTAACTTTAAATCAACATTGATGTTATTATCTTACCGTAAAAAGATGGGCTTCTGGTATCCAATATTTAAGACAGAATGAAAATTTTAAACTTAGCACACGAATCGAGTGCCAGAATGCTTTCGAGCGCAATTTGTAATGAGCTGCTCGATGAACGAGTAGACTGAAATAACCAGACGCGAAAGACTGTCATTCAATTTGCACTCCTTGCAGAAACGAGTGAATGTAAATTAGTTTATATACATTCATAGTACATCATTATAATTATTCGTTGCGACCCATTTGTGTCCATTTCTAGCTACCAATGAATAACGATTTAGCTCCTTTAAATTAACCTTGTGAAATAATCTTAAATAATCTACTGATATTTCGATAAGCGTACGCCATTAAAAATACTTAGAAAGCGCGTGAGAGAACTAGATTACGTGTAGAAGATCAATCATTTCAAGATTCCCACAATTCACCCAGTAGCAGACGTGAGGTAAATATTAGTATACGACTTCCGGTTGTTTGGTCAGTCAGTTGAGGGAAAGGTCATTTACATATTTTCTCAACCTAACTGTGTAAAAGTAAGCTTTTTGTTACGAGCTTTGTTTTGTTTTGTTTTAATTTCATTGCACCTGTTAAATTGTTCACCTTTTGTAAATACAAACCATTCATTCAAAACAGTACACTTATGCAAGTTGCTCATATCTTAAGGTGTGTGTGTATATCCTCTCGTCAGGATGAACCCTATTGAATCCTATCTACAAATTGAATGTGGTTTAACGCCCAACTTTTATGCACCAGTCGAGCTGATGAAGACTTACATACGCCATGGAGTGTGGGGTCAGGTCTAAATATTAGGGCCGACTGCAGATTTCGTCAAGGTCGCGAGGGAACGTGATTGTTGACGAGATTATAGGCTAGGGTTAGGGCTAGCCCCGTTTACATCTCGTGACCTTTGACCAAATCTGCAGTTGGCCTTAATATTTATACCTAACGTGGAGTATGGTATGTGGCACATTTTGCCCGGACATCGTACCCTCCGTCGAATTACAACGGCGTCTTTTATAAGAAGGACTAGACATTTTTCCTTCACAGACCCCAGTCGAACCTGTTCCATAGAGTTACTGCATGAGCCTCCTTTAAATGTTAAAGACCCTATGCGTGATTTTAGCAGTATATATAATACCGTGAACGTTGAAGCTCAAACAGGAACATCAGTCCAAAAATGGTTCAATTCCGTTCAGAATAGACACAAACATTAAACAAATAGTATCTCAAAATAATTATTATGTATGTAATAGTAAGTCTGTACAATATTTACATCTACACATAGTCTATTTACCTCTACCCATAGTTCATTTACCTCTCCAATAGTTCATTTACCTCGACACTGTTCATTTTCATCTACACATAGTCAATTTACCTCTACACATAATTCATTTACCTCTACGCATAGTTCATTTACCTCTCCACATAGTTCACTTACATCTACACTTAGTTCATTTATATCTACACATTGTTCATTTACTTCTACACATAGTCAATTCACCTGTACGGATAGTTCATATATCTCTACGCATAGTCAATTTACCTGTATGGATAGTTCATTTATCTCTACGCATAATTCATTTAGCTAGAAACGTTGTTCATTTACCGATACACATTGTTCATTTACCGATACACATTGTTCATTTACCGATACACATTGTTCATTTAAACAATATTTTTAATCAGGATGTCTGAATGGGATTGGGGAACAGGTTTTGCCTGTGTAAAACAACTCTACACTTCTGAAATCCAGGTAGCTTTGGCTTCTGAAGATCAGGTAAATGTTTCTTCTGAAATCCAAGTGCCTTTGACTTCTAAAAGCCAGGTAGCTTCGGGTTGTGAAACTCAAATGGCCGTGACGTCTGAAAACCAAGGCACTTTGGCTCTGGCGTCTTTAAAGCCTATGATGTCTGACCCTTGAAATCCTAGAAGGCACGAGACGGCATGTACTCTTTCTAGAATACTAGGCATCACTTCTCGTGGAGAAATTCGCTGATTTTAGAAATTGTAAAAAACGAATTCAACATGTCCACTGGTTACATCAAATATATTATTACTAGATATGTCACTAAATTCCTCCATATTCGCTACGAAGATATCATATCCTTGTTCTCCGCTGCGATCACTCCGAGAATCTCACACAACAGCTGTAACCCTAGTGTTAATTGCCTTGATAAGAATAAAGAAAGCCATCACTCGATATTTCACTAAAATCATCCATATTCGCTACGTCGATATCATTTCCTTGTGCCCCGCCACCGTCACCCCTAGATTTCCACTCGACACTTTCAACCCTGTCACCGTCAACCCTAGATTTTCACTCGACGCTTTCATCCATATTCGCTACGTCGATATCATTTCCTTGTGCCCTGTCACTGTCACCCGTAGATTTTCACACGAAAGTTTCCATAATGTTGTTGCCTGGATAAGAAGTAAGATGGTCACCACTCGATGTGTCACTAAAATGCTCCATATTCGCCACGTCGATATCATTTCCCTGTGCCCTGTCACTGTCACTCCAAGAATCAGAATCAACAGTTTTAACCCTAGTGTTTTCTTGGTCTTGGTGAGAATTAAGATAGACGGGGTTAACGCTGGTGTTGAATGTTGTCAGTGGTATATAGTTGGAAGACTTTACAGCTCTTTTTCGACCACGATGAAGTGTAATGCTACATGAAATAGCGTAAATTATAACTATAGAAATAGCGAGACCCAAGAGTAATGCAACTGCTAATATATCTGAACGCTTTTCAGTAATACCAATGGCAACATTTTCCATCTTCTGGTTGGCTGGACAGAAAATCAGATTAGTTAATAATTCCCGACATGTTGTCTGAAATGGGAAAGGTTCGATCCCTACTCGATATTCTCCTGGCTCATGGACCGTGAATTCATGTTGATTATCGGCTATGTTGAACGACTGAATAACGCTACCGTTTTTTGTATAATAAAGTCGGACCGTGTGAACACCCCCTGATAAACCGTCAAAAACGACGTGAATATTGTTGGTCGGTTGTAAAACAGAGATGGCGGACGCTGTTATACAGGTTTCCCTGTGTACGTAGCTGTAAGTCGTAATATAATAGTTGGTAACCGTTGCAAATGGAACGTCGCTCAGTTTTATAGTATAATGTTTCGGGAAATCTGTACTTAATCCAACCAGACATGGATACGATATCTCCCTTGGATGCTGTAAATCTACCTTCGTTAATCTACTTGGAGAAAAATCAAACAGACGACATCTTGGATTGTTATGATAAAACTCATCCTTGTGTGCTCCTGATTGGCTCGAAAAGTTGACCATTATCATAGCAACGTTTAATGCACGCTCGTCACTATTCGGTAACACCACAGATATATTTAAAGCCGGATATGTCCCTTGGTATTGATCGTGCCTCCGAGCGTACAACCCAACATGGCCGAGTTTGGCTATATTTGGATTGACTTTTGATGTCCTTGGGTGATTAATATTCTGTGCTATTTTACATTCGTTTTGATTCCCTATTCTGCATACAAATTCCTCATCTCCAGGATAATTCCTTTTACCTTGTGAACAATCTGTTGGCAGGCAATCATAATCCCAAATTACACTATGCACTAGGATGGGTACCAGCGTAGCACCACAAAGCGCCACAAACCAGGTCTTGATAGATAGGGCTTTTAAACCCATGACTATACAGGTGTCAAGTATCACGTAAGTCATATATCTGTCGATTTAATATTGTGCAGGAATTAAAGTTAATTTTATATGTAAAGAATAAATAACAATACTACCAGTTCTCCGTTCACATATCAATCATAATGGCGGTTGTAATACATAAACATAAGTTATGTTTAGTCATGGGGATTAAATTCGCTCCCTTATTTGCAAACGTTTATAAACACCTGGGCACAGTTAGGGGAGACACAGTCGCCCCACATATCCGTAAGGAATAGAACATTATAAATAAAAAATAACAACTCCGTAACGTTTTTGGTCAGTAACACACAGACTAATCTTTGATATATCTCAATATCTGTCCCGAACCATCATTGAATAACATCTCTGCAATATTTGCTCCCTGAATCATAATGCAAAATAAAAGGGAGTGTTAGGAATGCGAGTAAGTAATGTAATATACACAAGGCTATATAAGGGGCGTGTAAGGTATAAGTATTGCATAAATTGAACTAGATTATTATACCTAGAAAAACCTGATATCATTTGACATCATATGGTGGCCGATAGAGGGCACGTAATTATCCCGAGCATAAACCACAGTATCAGGGCACAGATACGACAAAGTCTACTTAGTCGTACACCTACGGTTTGACTAAATATATTAGTACAATAATATTGCTGTATTACTAAACATATTAGTACAATCGCCTTATTAATAGATCTATTAGTACACTTGACTTATTAATAGATACAATCGCCTTATTATTAGATATATTAGTTCACTTGCCTTGGCACAATGGCCTTATTAATAGATCTATTAGTACACTTGACTTATTAATAGACACAATCGCCTTTTTATGAGATATACTATTCAAAAAAAGTAGGGGATATTTGATTTTTAAGTGTTATTAAAGTCACCTAATGAAACTGACGAAGAAACAAATGACAAAATGAAATGAAGTTCACATTCATCGATTTATTCCAAATGATCGTTAGACTAAGTAAGGCACAGACTGACCATTATAAGGGTAAAATGATACCCGGGGTCAAACAGCAAAGTTACCACAGCATCACAACCAAACCAGTAACGGGTAAATCCTCCTCTGTTTGCCAAACAAGCATTGATCCGACGTGGCATACTCCTAATGAGACGTCTAAGGTCATTTTGGTCCAGATTGTTCCATTCCTGTTGCAACGCAGCAGCAAGTTCTTGGACATTGGCAGGACGTTGTTGACGTTGACGTAACCTCTGTCCAAGCATGTCCCAGACATGCTCGATGGGGGAGAGGTCGGGACTCAGTGCTGGCCAAGGTAATGTGGTGATGTTCTGTTGTTGGAGGTAACCTGTAACGATCCTGGCCCTGTGACATCTTGCGTTGTCATCCTGGAAGATGAAACGGCGGCCATGACGTCGTGCGAACGGCACAACAAGGACTGCCAAGATGTTGTCCCGGTAGTACTGGCCTGTAACACGCCCTGCAACAACATGTAAAGCCGTTCTTCCAGCAACAGTGATGCCTCCCCACACCATAACAGAACCACCCCCAAATCGATCATGTCTGATGACGTTAACGTCTTGGAAGCGCTCGTTTCGACGACGCCACACCCTCCTACGTCTGTCCAAAAAATCAACAGTGAACCTTGACTCATCTGAAAACATCACATTGCTCCAGCGTCGATTATCCCAGTGTTGACGATCCCTACACCAACGACGTCTTGCCTGAATGTGATGATCTCTCAAACAAGGGATCACGCGAGGACGTCGGGCGCGAAGGTGACCCCTATGCAGTCGATTCCGAATCGTCTGGCCACTCACTCTCACACCAGTGTCTGTTTGAAGACGAGCGCTGATCTGATTTGCTGTGATGACACGATTTCTCAAGGCCAAGGTACGGATAAATCGATCCTGGGCTTGAGTTGTCGCCCTTGGTCGACCTGAGCGTGGTCTGTCCTGTACAGATTGTGTATCACGGTATCTGGACCATAGCCTGCTTATGACAGACTGAGAAACATTCATCGTCCGCGCCACAACCGCCTGTGTTGTGCCGATATGTAGCATGCCAAGGGCACGTAACCTTTCATTTTGGGTAAGCCGACGCATATCAAAATTTGTTTTCTGGTCACTAAAACAATTAAACTGATGTTTCCACCCTGGAATTCAATGCCACAATGACTGTAACATTCAAAGTCAGAGTCGTGCAAATCTTGGGTTGGACCCCCATGATGATCCCAAGCATCACCTGCATTCCATGCGGTAGCTATTGGTGCGTTTGGGCGTCACATGTAACTGGAAATGTTTCTTCTGTTAGGTTCTATAGTGACTTTTTTTCGTAGTCATTTGCATATTTTAGTATTATGCCCCCAAAATCAAATATCCCCTACTTTTTTTGAATAGTATATATTAGTTCACTTGCCTTGGCATTGAGTCAACTGGCGTGGTTTCGATTTCCCGGTTGTCGCCTGTCCAACCTCGTGGGTTTTCTCCGGGACCCCCGGTTTCCTCCCACTGCTAAAGACCCCTACGCGCAAGCGAATTATTGAAATAAAATTGAACCCTGTGTTAGTCCCAAAATGACTACACTTGCAGTATCTCTAAGCATATTAGCACAAATACTTTATTACTAAATATATAAGCACAATTATTATAACATTTAACGTAATATATTGGTACAATTATCACAGAGCTTCGGGTAGTTATACAGGACTAGGATAAAGATTTCTAATATCAGTATCTCGAATTTCTCATTAAACTGGAAAGGTCAGCTTAGGAAGCACAAGTAACGTTTACTTCAGGATTGTCAAGCAGCGGTGGCTTCTGAAATCCAAGTATCTTTGGCTTCTGAAATCAAGGCATCTTTGACTTCTGAAATCTAATTATCTTTGGCCTCTGAAGTTCAAGTAGCTTTCGCTTATAAAGTAGATTTGACTTCTGAAATCCAACCAGGTTTTTGGCTTATGAAATCTTTCTAGAACTTGTCATTGATGTGACTGGATATATTCGTTGTACTGTTTTTAGAAATTTATTTATTTAGATTTTGTTCGAGTCGCAAGGAACGAAATAAACATTTTTATTATACCTATCGGGTCGTGTGATATTTGTACATCTTATATTGTTGATGGATATTGTGAGAACCATCTTGAATTGAAGTATTTATGTAATTAATATACCAGATGAAAGAAATACTTGATTTAAACTACTTTAAGTTACGATTTAACATGAAACAGATCGGAAGTGAGGCACGTCTCTCTACTTACAGGCGTTTGACATGGTCAACGGTGTACTTCCGATAGTTCACGTGTTCCCCTCTTTTTATGACGCCATTGTTAAATATGTAAAAGTACATTTGGTTCAAGGTAATTCAGGGGAATGTTTAATATTTTAACATTTATCGTAACAGATCTAATTCTAAGTTTTAGATTCATGAAATATTGGGAAATTTTATATAAACACCTAGCTTGAATGCGGTACCGGGTCGATGGCTACAACTGATGGCAGATAAACAGAAAACCATCTACTCGACATCAACAATTGGTATACTGTTCTCTAATGTGATCCTACTCCGGTTATACACACATCGACTAATTAAACCTTTTCAATTTTATTACAAATACCTTCCCGCGTACAAACTGTGTGATTTGAAGGCACATTTGGACTGAAAACATATTCAAACTAATTTATCTATCAAAAATTGCTTCAAATCCCTATCAAAACTTTGTATTCGCGGGGAGATACCCTAAGCTATAAATGAACTTATGTCACCTCTTTGCTTACTGTCCAGAGGCCTACGTAAATTTGTATTTATTTTCTGTCAACAGCTTTTCCCGCCGTTTGTACGTTCACACCCCTCAATGGTCCAAAAACCGCCTAACCATTTGATCAAGAAATAACAACCGCTCCCTCAGTCAAGCTAGCACACAATAAGCTGACAGTCGGGTTACCAGTTAGTGATACCCTAACATTTTTGCCTAGATCTAGCCTAATGGGTATTTTTCTAGTAAGATTTGGTGTTTATAACTTCCGATAAATCGACACAATGTATCTTTAAATGAAAGCAGAATATATAATTTTCAAAATTATCGAAATATTATGGTGGCTTATTGGTATCATGTCGGGATGTCGTGGGGTCGCCTTTCATACGGCGACGACCCAACAACCCGACATCACGACATCACGACACCACGACATTTTAACCCCACAATACGACATTTTAACCCGACACCACGACATTACTTTTCTACACCAATCGGGCTATTGGAGATAGGCATACGCTATGCAGAGTGCTATGACGGAAATTCTCAATGAACCGTGGCATTTCTTCATCGAAATTCAACTGTGAAGGATTCTTTTATGTGCACGCCAATGTGTAAACAGGAGCTTGTTTTTTGTCCCATCTACACAACTAGACACTTTGCCATGCACTACCGACAGGTAGAAACCACGCTGCAAAATCCCGGGGAACTTTCTTGACCAACATCAGGATCAATGTATATAAAAATAGTATTAAGAAGAATATGGCCGATAATCCGACACCATGACATCACGACACCACGATAACCCAACAACCCGAAACCACGACACCACGACACCACGACAACCCGACAATACGACATTTTTTATGCGACATTACGACATTTTTACGCGACATTACGACATTTTTACGCGACATTACGACATTTTTGATGTCGTGGTGTCGGATGAAAATGTCGTATTGTCGGGTTAAAAATGTCGTGATGTCGGGTTGTCTGGTTGTCGTGGTGTCGGGTTAAAATGTCGTGATGTCAGGATGTCGGGTTGTCGCCTTATGATGGTCGACACCACGACATCACGACATGATACCAATCAGCCACCATAAAATATACAGGATTTTAAAAAGGGCTGTGCAAATAAAACAACCCATTAAATCTATCAGAAATATTTTGGACTCTAGGAGACAGCCCATAGAAACAGTAAGCAGTTATCCCCCTTTAATACTACAAAAACAGCAGTGGTAATACTCGATTGACGGTGTTCGTAAGTGGTTAAAGACGAATAAGAGGATAAACCGAGATTCACCCCTGTACTGGCTGGCATTCACGTTAAAAAAACTTGACAGTGTGTTAAGCCCCATTTCATGTCCTTGTGCTTTGATTAAATGTTTCTTAACTGAAACCGCGCCGAAAACTACAGGGGAACCTTCTTGGTCAATACCAGGAGCAAACCCGAGCCCTCCTGGGTAACTAAAATGAAATGGGGTTAAGCGGTCTACTGATCTGCTCCGACTGGGCGAATGAAGACGGGCATACAGTGTGCTATGAGTGAAATGAAATGAAATAAATGGGGTTTAACGGCCTACTGATCTGCTCCGACTAGGCGAATGAAGACGGGCATACGCCATACAGTATGTTATGAGGGAAGTTTGCCCGGACATCCGACGCTACGGCTATTCATATCAAATTCCAAATGCCAAGGAATCTTTTACGCGCACGCCAATGTGTACACGAGACATCGGTTTTTCGTCCCATCTGAACGACTAGGCAGCTGTGCCTGTCAGGCCTTCCGTCCTTCACCACTGACAAGGGGAAACCACGCCAGAAAATCCCGATTAACTATCTCGGCCAACACCGGTAGAGAACCCACGTCTTACTCACTTAGCCACCGTGGCTCCCCTCCTGGGTAACGAAGAGGTGTCTTACTCACTGAAACCGTGATCCCCCGATTGAAGTGTAAAAGTAGGACGATTTTACTTTCTTGCTTCAACCTGGATAAAGGTATTATACTCTCACTGTGTTCTATTCAGTCGTATATATCAGTCCTATTTACCAATCACTCGGGAATTTCCAACATGGTTTCCACTCGTCTGCGGTGCAGATCGGATTTTTTGTGCAAAATGTCCGTAATAGCACACTGTATAACCGTTGGTGCATATGATAAGTGGGACGTTAAACCTTATCCCATTTCATACACAATCTGTTTCCAACCACATTGCCGTCCAATGGTCAATCCCTATAATGACATGTCGTATAATTTAGTATACAGTAATTAACATGATACCCTATAACCGACTGGGCTAATGAAGAGAGAACCAGAGAGAGAGAGTGTGTGTGTGTGCGTGTGTAGAGAGAGAGAGAGAGTGTGTGTGTGTGCGTGTGTAGAGAGAGAGATAGTGTGTGTGTGTGTGCGTGTGTAGAGAGAGAGAGACAGGGTGTGTGTGTGTGTGTGTGTGTGTGTGGGGGGGGGGGGGGGATAACGTCCACTCGACGCAATACAAGATCAATTCAGGACTAACACAATTTTATTTCACCCTACTCCTTGTCACGTACAAGCGGAGAATCGAAACCACGCCACCTGACTCAATGACAGACCTTATGATGCAACGCGCACGCGTTAATCATTCGCCCCCCGTAAGTAAACAAGACAGTACGCAGTGTCTATGAGGGAAATCTTGCCCGAACAGCTACTGTAAAGGGTTGTTTTACGTGCAAAACAACGTGTACACCGGAATTCGAATTTTAAACCCATACTAACGACTAGACGCTTTACCTTGCCATGCCCTATGTCCTGCAGCACTGACAAGATAAACTGTGCCGAAAAAATCCAAGGAAATTTTTCGGCCAACATCGGGTGGGAACCCGTGGTTAGCCAGAAAGCGTCATCCACACTGAGCCATCACACTGTACTGTCAGTTTTTGTCTGCGATATCACTTAGGTGGAAGCGGACGTCATATAAAGCTATTCCACACACATATTGAAAACAACACAATTTATATGGAAAACAATCATTGGTTTATACTCATATAGTTCAGACAAGTATTATATGTGTGGGTGATTGTTTTCCATATAAATTGTGTTTTTAATATGCTCAATCGCTAAATGCCACTCAAGGATTAAAATCAGTATTGGTTTTATTCATCATCATCATCATCATCATCATCATGTTTTATTCTAGGGTGTATCTCCCATAATGTTCGACTTTTATCATCACAATCTGCTTCTTCTGGTCCCTTTAGATCACTAGACATGGGTATAGCTAAACATTTATTTGTTGCTGGATTAAAAAATTGACTGTTCTGTAAAAAAAAGAAGAAAAAGAAGTTTATATATAAGACACAAATATTTTTGATTCTTGGGAGAACAAAACAGTTCTAGAATATTCTAATTAGCACCTAAAAAAATTTCCTTTTGAAAAGAAGGGCGGTTTATGGCGCTAGCGAGATCAGTGCTAGAGGGAAGTTCAGGAGTCCCCTGTTCACACGATTCACTACCCCCCCCCCCCCGCCCCCACCTTTACAGGGAGTTAGGAGAGAAAGGATTTAAAGAGAATCGTAGCCTAGATCCAAAGCATATCAAGACCGCGGGGATGGGGACAAACTTTTCCCAGTTAAAGATATCCTCAAATACTAATCATCACCCCCAACCCATCCCACTTAAAGTTACCCTTAGATACTACCTACCGTTCCAACCGATCCCCGGTTAAAGTTACCGCCCCAATCCAACCCCGGTTAAAGTGACTGTTAAATACTACCTATCACCCCAAACCTCTCCAGTCAAAGTTACCCTTAAATACTTATCGTCAAGCCCCCAACCTATCACTTAAAGTTACCCTTAGATACTACCTATCGCCCCAACCCACTCCCAGTTAAAGTTACTCTTAAATACTACCTATAACCCTAAATCCACTCCAGTTAATGTTACCCTTAGATACTAATCATCATCCCCAACTTACCCCAGTTTATGTTACTCTTAGATACTACCTATCTCCCCACAAGCCAAAGTTAACCTTAAATACCACCTATCACCCCTAACTCATCCGTTAAAGTTACCTTTTGGTACTACCTATCACCCCAAACCACCCGTTAAAGTTACCCTAAATTACTACCTATCACCCAAACCACTCCAGTCAAAGTAGACTCGATTATAGAAATATTAAAAAGTTTTCTACTACCTGATATTTAAATATTTGATATCTACATTTGACGTCACACTTTCTCAGTGTGGAAGGTTTCGTATAAAAAGATACACATTTATGAAAGTCTTGAGCTGAAACTTCTGTTAATAATAAACCCTCTTTCGTGAAGTAAAAATTCTGAAATAAAAGAAAGAATATTTACTAAGATTATCAGTTTAAAATCATGTGTGATAACAATCTTACTTCCCGAGTAGTCTAAATCCGAATGTCTGCCACCGATGCATGTGTCGTGGTACCAATCTAACACTATAGGTTCTTTGGTTTCTCCGCTTTCTTTAAAGATATAAACTATATGTTAATCCCAGAATGACTTATTTTGTGTTGCTTGGTCAATTATATGGCTCCAACATTCAACGTTTTACATAGTAAGGTGTGTCATGACATAGATTCATTTGTGAATAGTACAGTGTGCTCAATCCTGGCAACACCGGGATGTCGATGGGAGTGATCTCCCTTATGCTTGAAATTATAACGGGACAGTAATGTTTACTAACTAATGTAAGTTGTGGTCGAAGGGGTGATGGTGGTGGAGGGCTGACGCCTGCGTTTCAGATCATAAGGTCTGTCATTGAGTTATGCGGCGTACCTTCGATCCAACACTTGTACGTGACAAGGACTTGGGTCGCCTACCTAACCTTGTCGGTTTTCACTAGGTCCTCTCGTCTTTCGCCCCACTGGCCCCTACATGGAAGCATAATAGACTTCTCTTGCGGTTCGAACTAACACCATTCTGATGATTAGCATCGATATGGCCACCATTTATTACCTGATTAGCATTATTATCATAACAATGATATATTCCATAAACTCCATCCCCTGACATGGCATCTAAACAAAACCCTGGTTTACCTAAACTCTTCACCTAAAATATAAAAAAATGCACATCTCTAGAACATCTGATATCAGTTTTTATTTAGACTGGAAGTTTGCAGGGAGTATGTCACAGATAGGGATATCTAAACGAAATTTGGCCCAGACAGCGGCATAACCGGCTACTCTTCATCGAATTCGGATGGATCTCAGTTGTCCGTTCTACCTGAACAACTAGACGTTTCCTTGCTAGACCTCTACCAATGTCTACTGACTAGGAAAACCAGACCGCCCCCCCCCAACTCCCCATGCTTAGGTTTAGTGAGTCATTGTCGTAATAATGAAACCCCCTGGCTCCGGTAATGTCCGATAGAGTTTAATGATTAATCCGGCCCCTTTAATCAGCAGGACCGGATTAAAGTGGAGTGTGTGGGTGGGTGTGTGTGTGGGTGTGTGTGTGTGTGGCGGAGGGCACTTGTTGGGCTGCAGCCACTCAGGGACCCTTAAGTATTAAATGGAACACAAAATTAATTTTAAATGTGTTTGTGTACAATGTCATTTATTATATTGTATGTGTTTGTACCAAATACATCTATCTATATACCCATATTAAATTGCATGTGTGTCAGATTGGCGCACAATGACCAGGCTATACTCCTTTTACATTGATGCATGGACCCCAATGACATTTTCAGCCAGGGGCCCAATACAATCTGACCCTGCCAATCACAGTATGTATTTGAATATATCAGTTATTTAAAAAAGGAGACAACTTACGTGACCACCGGATATAACGTCATTTGGAATCCACATGGTTGGTGACAGTAGGTTTTTATAATACCAATCAAAACTCTTACAATGGAGACTTTTTCTCAGTTCCTTACGACTTGTAACATCTATTTGAGACTGTAATATACACACAGGTGTGTGAATGGGGGAGAGAGAGAGAGAGAGAGATGCAACGTCCACTCGACACAAAACAGGTCATTTCGAGACTAAAATAATATGGTTCAACTTAATTTCAATAATTCGCTTGCGCGTAGGGGTCTTTATCAATGGGAGGAAAGCGGTAGACAGAAATGAAATGGAATGAAATGGGGTTTAACGTCCTACTGTTCTGCTCTGAACTGGGCTAATGAAGATGGGCATACCCCATGGGCATACCCGGACAGCGGCACTACGGCCTACTCTTATATCGAATTCCAACTGTCAAGGCATCTTTTACGAGCACGCCAATGTGTACACGGGACCTCGGTTTTTCGTCTCATCCGAATGACTAGACAGCTGTCCTTGTCAGGCCCTCCATCCTGCATCACTGACAAGGGGGAACCACACCGGGAAATCTGAATGAACTTTCTCGGCCAATGCAGGGATCGAACACCCGATCTCCAGGCTAGCGAGCCAAGCGGTAGACAGGCAGCGTAAGTTTAGTATATGGAACAAACCACATTAGGGTAAACATTTATTAGTCTTAGTTCTGGTTGTTAAAAGAAAAGTAATTAAATAACTTACAAGGTCAGGTTTATAATAGTCATATAAATATTGTTTATACTCGTCCATCCAGACTTCTGCTACCCTAGCTGAGTTCTTCCAGACGGTATTTTCCCCTGGAATTGTATAAGGCATCACGTGACGGAAGATATGTCCGACATGGGAACAGGGTACCATCAGTATACTTCCGTTACACATCCAAATCTAAACTAAACCAATAACATATATTATACACCTATAATTTTGCACACTTTAATTTAAACATGACCGCTAACCTTATTTGTATTTGACCATATCCGGTTTTGGTCAACTTTTTTTCTCATGGCTAGTACGAGAGAGAGAGAGAGAGAGAGAGAGAGAGAGAGAGATGGGGTATAACGCCCACTCGACACAAACTAGGTCATTTCGGGACTAATATATGGTTCAATTTTATCCCTTGCGTGTAGGGGTCTTAGCAGTGGGAGGAAACCAGAGGACCCGGAGAAAACTCACGAGGTTGGAGAGGCGACCGTACTACTTATCACGTAGAACAGGGGAATCGAAACCACGCCATTGACAGACCTTATGATACAACACGCACGCGTTAACCATTCGGCCATCCAAACCCCTTCTCATGGTGAGAGTATAAAACAGTGGCATACGTAGGTTAGTGTCGACCGTTGCTAACTCCTTGACTGTATGTCCCCAAACCTTAAAGTAAAGGGCACTGCACTCAGAATTGTGAGAAAGGAAAGACAAAAATGTGACCTAGATCGTTCTTCCCCTGGACTCTTCAAATGTAAGCAGACGGAAAGACTGTAATAAAGCATAGATGAAAACGCTTCCTTGACCATCTTGCACGAAACCGAGAACCGAATTATTATTACTATGTTTACCCAAGGCACACAAAGAAACTCATGTAAACGTTAAAGGGTCATAACTTAAATTTGCCTTGACATTGTTTGGACTAAAACGTTTTTTCTTCTTTTTTAAAAAAAAAAAAATAATATTGTTGGTTATATTTAAACTCTATAATTAACCTATATTCAGACCCGGTGGGGCTTTAAACACTTTAATCTATATTCAGATCGGATGGAGCTCCAAACTCTATATTTAACCTATATTCAGACATGCTATGTCTTTAAACACTATATTTAACCTTCATTCAGACCTGTTGTGGTTTTAATATGCACAAAATAATAATAATAATAAAAAAAAAACAGAACCGTTTTAAATTGATTGAGGAAGTTCAAATAAGTAAATTAATAGCGGCACTTCCGGCGCTATGACTTTGACCTTCAAACAATACAAAAATTGTTGATCTTTTGGAATTAGTTTAATTATAAATTAAAAAAAAACTGGAGAACAGAGTTGAATTCTAAATTTAGTACCAGAAATCCTGAAGTATTTTCAAACTCAAGTTCGTTAATAAAAAGTGACATATTAATGTAACAGTATTTGGACAGCGTATAATCGTTCGGATGGGACGAAAAACCGAGGTCTCCTGTACACATTGATAGTTGGAATTCGATATAAGAGTAGGCCGTAGGATCGCTGCCCGAGCAAAATTTCCCTCATAGCACACTGTATGGCGTATGCCCGTTTTTATTAGCCCAGCCGGAGCAGAACAGTAGGACGTTAAAACCTCAAATTTATTTAAGACGTTGGTTTCAGTACTTAATTGGGGGACAACAAATCCATAAGATCGTCAACAAATCTGTTGAAATTTATATATAATGTTTCGTGCTACAACAGACAGATACATCTCCGCGTATACATGTAGGTGACGTTCGATATAAGAGTAGGCCGTAGTGCCGCTGTCAGAGCAAAATTTCCCTCATATAGCACACTGTATGGCGTATATCCGTCTTCATTAGCACAGTCGGAGCAGAACAGTAGGTCGTTAAACCTCATTTAATTTCCAAATGACTGGCATATTTTCAAATTAATCAAACAGTGTATGGATCTTATCAGGATAACCTACCAAAAATAACTGACTTTCTCATAAGAAAGTTTTTAAATTAAAAGGAGTTGTCAAATAGTTGGCATATTTTCCAAATATAAGACATCTGTTCCCCTGTTACTATAAAGACAATAATTTAAAATTAAATACTTCCGTGTATAAAAATAAACTAAACAGATTCTTTAATCGACCATTGCCTCAACGACGAATATTAGAAAGTGAGCGTAATTGAAAATCAATAATATGTCTGAATAACAGTTAGCCTCGTTTCATTATTTGTACATAGATTATTAATGTCAGATTTCAATTGTCAAAATATCTGCTTGCATTTTGTTGTCAAATTCAAAAATTACATTTGAATAACATTGCAATCTGATTAAAACAAATATCCTATTTGGTTTCATTTTTTATAGTTCATAATTTCGTTTTACTTGTCTTCACAACACAAGGATCTGGAAGAGTTGTTATATAACATGCGTTCTGCTTGATGTGAGGAGTTAGTCAATTGAATGTATTTTATTCAGATTGATAATGTGAATTCTACTTCCCCTACAAGCCCCACTTAAATAAATAAACAAAACCTCTGCAAAGTAAACCACCTACATGTAACACTTTGTTCGACGAATTAAGAGCTATATAAACTCACCTTGAAAGAAAGTTCTAAATTTTCTCCTCCCCAGCCTTTCATTTCCGGATCATAGGTTCCTAGTTTCTGGAAGTATGCCTTGTTGATACTGAACAATCCACCAGGCATAGTTGGTGATCTGTGAAATATAACACAATAATATATAAAACGTTCTTAACCTCTCCCCCAAATTCTTAAACCTAACGCTGGACTTAGCCCCAATGCTTATCCTAACCCTAACCTACGATCTTGCCAACAATCACGTGCCCTAACCCCATAGGCAAAGGGTTATGACGGATGTAGAGACCACGGTGCGTGTAAAAAAGGCTTATGACATTGCCAAAAATATTATACACCTTGGCGACAGGCTACCCTCGATCATCAGACCCTAGGCTTCAGTCTGCCGAGCCAATAGCTCGACCTAGGATTGAGTAGATATGCTATATATATATTTCAAAGAATTGGCATTCAAAAAAGCGTACAGAACAGACATGGTTGACGTCGGTCGGCCAAGGGGGAGAGAGAAATGGTTTAACGTCCTCTCGACACAAACTAGGTCATTTCGGGACTAACACATGGTTCAATTTTATTTCAATAATTCGTTTCGCGTAGGGGTCTTTAGCAGTGGGAGGAAACCGGAGGACCCGGAGAAAACCCACGAGGTTGGACAGGCGACCCTACTCCTCGGTCGACTAAGGACTCAGTGGAAATGCTACATTTCTAAGAATTAAGACTCGCTAGGTTTAGCAACATCTGACTTGGATTTAAGAGGTTAATTCCAAGATTATCGCTTGATAGAAACGGGAATACAAGGTCCTACTAACAACTGACAAGAGCGCCCAGAGTATTGCATTTCAATTACCCATAATTTTGTCAACATGTCGAATATGTGCATATCTATAACATATATTTACTATTGCTCACTTTTCGCAGTACTTTAGGCCTGATGACACAATTAAATGAAATGGGGTTTTACGTCTTACTTGTTTGCATTGACTGGGATAATGGGGATTAATTTTGTAGGACCCGGGTGTACCTTATATTATCGGCTGCCGATTTTCTTGCTTGTGTAACCACCGGTGGCATATTGTCCCAGTTGAACAATAAATTTCTCCATCGGAATACTCCGTAAGATGGTGAGTCCCACAATGGTTCATACTTTAGAGTTTCATCGTCGATCACATCAAGAGTGGGAAACGTTGAAACTGTTTCATCTTTTGCTATTGGATCTAGAAGAGGTTCTAACCATCCTACAATATAAAGTGGTGGGATGTGATGATGCTGTTAGAAATATATTTGACAAATCAGAAAACAATAAACCCACTAATTTAACAAGCTACAAAAACAACCAGCAAGCGGTATCAAGGATGTTTGTTCAATAACAGAACATAGTTTTTACCCCCACTTCAGCAAGGGGGATTGGGTGACCAAATGGTTTAACACGTGCACGTTAGATCATAAGGTCTGTCATTGAGTCAAGCGGCGTGGTTTTGATTTCCCACGTGTACATGACATAGGATCGCCTGTCCAACCTCGTGGGTTTTCTATGGGTCCCCCGATTTCCTCCCACTGCTAAAGATCGTTACGCGAAAACGAATTACTGTAAAAGATTGAACCATTTGTTAGTCTCAAAAAGACGTTAAACTCCTATTCGCGCTCTCCCTCTGAACTGTAGCGTATTATATAACAAAATATGAGTTATAAAGTATCGTGATTACATTCTTTATGAGAATCGAGATGTTAAAATAGGGGCTGTGGCTCACCGTGGTTACACTGTATGTGATTACATTCTTTATGCGGATCTAGATATTAAAATAGAGGACTGTAGCTTACCGTGGTTACATTTTATATGAGAGTTGAAATTAAAACAGGGCTTCTAACTTACCGTGATTACATTCTATGAGTCGAGATATGTTAAAATATGGGGTTGTAGTTAACCGTGGTCACACTGTATATGAGAGTTGAGAGATGTTAAAATACGAGCCGTAACTTACCGTTAATACATTCTTTATGACGACCGATATATTAAAATAGGGGACTGCAGCTTACTGGGATCATGTTCTATTTGAGAGTCGCGATTAAAACAGGACCAGTAACTTACCGTGATTACATTCTATATGAGAGTCGAGAAATGTTAAAATAGGGGCTGTAGCTTCTTCATACCCCTTTATCCTGGCTGACACCAACCCGTCCCTCTTTTTATTTCTAAATAACTTCACTTTAGGGAAATTACGTATGTAATCTTCCAGTGGTTTACCTAGGATGGCTGAAATAGAAAATAAAACTGGTTGTTATAGACAATATCTATCGGATTCTATAGTTTATATTAAATTTAATAATACATTGTATATATAATACTATCTGTTCGATCCCTGCATTGGCCGAGAAAGTTCAGTGATGCAGGACGGAGGGTCTGACAAGGGCAGCTGTCTGGTCGTTCGGATGGGATGAAAAGTCGAGGTCGCGTGTACACATTGGCGTGCGCGTAAAAGATCCCCTGACAGTTGGATTCGATATAAGGGTAGGCCGTAGTGCCTACAAGCCCAACTTTGATATCGCAATGAAACACAAAGAGCCGAACCTACCCTTTTCTGAGCCATCATCAACCAGTATAATCTCTTTAATAAGATGTGGTGGGGATCTTTCTAGTACACTGTGGATAGATCGTATTAACGTGGACCACGCCTCGTTATAAAATGTTATAATTACACTCGTCTGTGGTAGGTTTGCATCATATGTTACATTTTTACACCTGAATAAAAAAAATATATGAATTCAAAACATATATATAACAAATATTAGCATTACAAAATAGATATGAATTAACATAGAAAAAGAAATATCTTAAACAAGTTTTGTATCCTTTCCAAAGCTAAAACTTATTTTTTTAATTTTGAAATGAAATGAAATGGTCTGCTGCGAACTAGGCTAATGAAGACGGGCATACGCCATACAGTGTGATATGAGGGAAATTTTGTCCGGACAGCAGCACTACGGCCTACTCTCATATCGAATTCCAACTGTTAAGGGATCTTTTACGTGCACGCCAATGTGTACACGGGACCTGGGTTTTTCATCCTGTATCCCTGGTTGAACTTTCTCACGAGGTTGGACAGGTAACCCTACTCCTTGTCACGTCTGTTGACTCAATGAAAGACCTCATGATACAACGCCCACGCGTTAACCACCCAACCAACCCCCTGTTACACGTAGAGATGCAGGAATTAATCAATCTAATGCAAACCGATTATCTATAATATGACAATACATGTCTGTTACACGCTAATCTGGAAATCATTATTAGGGAGGAGCCATCATGTATCTGATATTGCATGTACCAGAAACTGCCAGAAAAATTGTCTAGTCGTCCAGATGGGACGTAAACTATATCTTGACAGTTGTAAATCCAAGTTGAATGTCCTTCATACCACAATGAATAACGTATTCCCATCTTCATTAGTTCTGTTGGTGTTTTAAAAAGTAGCATGTTAATCCCCGATTTCATTTAATTTGATCCTCATAGCAAATATCCCCCCCCCCCACCGCACTAATAGCACACTGCATACCGTCTGCCCAATAAACTAATTAACCCGGTGGGTAAGTGGTTTAAATTAGTAGGATGTTAAGCCCCCCATTAAATTTCGTTTGCTTCCCATAGGAAAAATCCCTCATACCACACTGAATAGCTTATGCCTATCTTTATAAGCCCTCTTAATGTTTAACAGTAGGAAATTAAACAACCATTATGCAAGAGCTAAATCTGTGTATTGCAGGTCTTTCTTTAGGCCTGAAATGTTATCTAAATTATTAATTAGACTTTAATTAAACTATCCATACCATAATCAACTCTAGATGGCATCGCTAGCCTGCAATCTTAAGTGGATTATGAGCCGATTTACTGCATAACTTTCCTTCACGATTCTACGATTAAATGGATAATCGAGACTATGCTGTTTATCGTACTGACTTTAGTAATAATGATAGAGGCTAGGCGGACATTTCAAACGCTTAGTTCTCGGTTCATAGTGGATCAATTTGAATGAAATTTTCAGCAAATTGTCTTTACAGTATCTAGTTTTTAACTATTATAGTGAGAACTGCCAACTCGTTATCGAATCTCCCATAATGTATCTTTAAAGGGACAATAACACTTTTGTTGGCTTGACAGCTTCAGAAAATAAATAATAGCCTTATTCTAAGTATTAGATGTTTAAGTGTTCTACCTGTTGTGTAAATTATCCATTACATCCTATTTTACTTGTCCAGTGGGTTCGAAAATATTTTTAAATCCAAGTCACATTTGAAAAGGTTTACGTTAGGCTTTTCAGATCATTTAGTTGAATTTTTCCAATTTTTGAAATTATGTGTGTTAAGATGAAATTTGTATCATCAATTAATTGGAATATTGTAAAATAGTACAATTTGTTGACCATAATAAAGATTGGGACATGTTTTTCAGTTACATCAAGAGTGGTATTGAGCCTTTAAGCTTCCATTTCATTTCAAGTGGTGCTTTGCGAGAATAAAAGGGCGTTGACCATATCATTATAGATTAATAGGTTATGATTTGATTTTACGGCGTAATCATAATACTCATTGTATACTGTATACAGGGCTGTAGTCAGCTGGTGTATATCAATATTAGTATTAGTATATACTTTATTGATTCATTAGTAAATGTCGTATATTGAACAGTGTGGTTTATTTCATAAATAATAATTTCTTTATTATTTTTGCTTGACTAAGGTCATGGAACACTTGGCTCCTTAAACTCCTAGGATATGTGTCTTAAGTATGGTAGGCGCGGTATCATTATTTTTGTATTGGGTTGGGTACAGATCATTTTCCAACCCTTTACAAAATGTCATTATAAATAATACATGTAATAATAAATGTAAATTTTTTCAAGATTTGGCCCCTAATATCTTTAGTTATGTGAAAATTACGACAATATTTTATAAAACTACACATTTGGCAATTTCGAACATTTCCCATTTCCTAAGTGACACTCAATTTCAGATCAATTCAAAAAGATCTAAACGATCTGACAAGCAGTTCTTGAGATATACGCAAAAAGAAAAGAAGAAAAAAACCCAACCCAAAACAATTTAATAATCCGAACAAAATTAAGCATGGTGGCCGCTGACAATTTATTCACAGAAACAAAATTAAGCATGGTTGCCACTGACGATTTATTCATCCGAACAAAATTAAGCATGGTTGTCGCTGACAATTTATTCACAGGAACAAAATTAAGCATGGTTGCCACTGACAATTTTTTCACCCGAACAAAATTAAGCATGGTTGCCGCTGACAATTTATTCATCTGAACAAAATTAAGCATGGTTGCCACTGACAATTTATTCATTCGAACAAAATTAAGCATGGTTGTCGCTGACAATTTATTCACAGGAACAAAATTAAGCATGGTTGCCACTGACAATTTTTTCACCCGAACAAAATTAAGCATGGTTGCCGCTGACAATTTATTCATCTGAACAAAATTAAGCATGGTTGCCACTGACAATTTATTCATTCGAACAAAATTAAGCATGGTTGCCACTGACAATTTATTCATCCGAACAAAATTAAGCATGGTTGCCACTGACAATTTATTCATTCGAACAAAATTAAGCATGGTTGCCACTGACAATTTATTCATCCGAACAAAATTAAGCATGGTTGCCGCTGACAATTTATTCACCCGAACAAAATTAAGCATGGTTGCCACTGACGATGTTTGAACGCCGAATGATGTTTAAACCTGTTTACTCACATTTGAGGTCGTGAATCTGGAACTTTTCTATGTAAGGAAATCAAATCACTGGCGAATTCATTGAATGCATTTCCTTTAAAGCCCTGATCATATCTATTCTTTTCTTCAGCTGACAACAAGGAAACGTTCACATTCACCGGTGAACCGTTATCACCTGAAATTCAATTACAATTTTAATAAAAGACTTAACTTATCTAAATCTTAACAAAAATAACACTTTTGAAAATTGCAAAAAAGTGACAATTTTGAAAATTGCAAAAAAGTGACAATTTTGAAAATTGCAAAAAAGTGACAATTTTGAAAATTGCAATAAAAAGTGACAATTTTGAAAATTGAAAAAAAGGTGACAATTTTGAAAATTGAAAAAAAGGTGACAATTTTGAAAATTGAAAAAAAGGTGACAATTTTGAAAATTGCAAAAAAGTGACAATTTTGAAAATTACAAAAATGTGACAATTTTGAAAATTGCAAAAAAGAGTAAAAATTTTGAAAATTGCAATAAAAAGTGACAATTTTGAAAATTGCAATAAAAAGTGACAATTTTGAAAATTGAAAAAAAGGTGACAATTTTGAAAATTGAAAAAAAGGTGACAATTTTGAAAATTGAAAAAAAGGTGACAATTTTGAAATAATTACCCAAAATTTTATAATTTTCAAAATTGCGGACAAATCACCCGTTTCAAAAAACTAAAGAAAAAACAAAAATAACAATTCTATAATATTTAAAGGCACAATTTTGAAAATTAAAAAAGAATTGCGATTTCTAAAATAAAAACAATGTCACAATTTCTAAAATGAAAACAACTTCTAAAATGAATACACTGTCTCTACGACTACGACTACGACTACGACCACGACTACTATTGATTTACGTCTGCTTTCATCTTGGTGATATCACTGTATGTTGTATATTTAAATCAATTGTAACAGCTGATATGAGTTGAAGATAAAAACATTGAATTGAATCGTTCTCTACTTATTTAGACGTTCTAGTTATGGAATTGCTAGTTAACTAGGCCTTCCAACCTAGCTGCTGATGGCCATTGGGAGATTTTGAATCATTAGAGATAGTAATAAAATAAAACCAAGTACGAACAATCCAAACCATTAGACAAAATTCAAAGTCCTAAAAAAAACGGTATAGGCAAAAAATAGTGTAATCAGGCAAAATAGTGTAATCAGCATATGGACTGTTCACCGTGTACAAAAAACACGACAAACATAAAGAACTACAATATTGTGAAATTCGAATCAGTATTTACAAAGATATGGTGAATTAAAATTTTTCAAAACATTCGACATCCTCAGTAAGGAACAAAATAAGCCAGCGCCACGTATAAATGTTGGATATAATTTTGAATCTAATATACCGCCATGTTTACCTGGTTGTGGTTTTCTTGTTGTTGTTGCGCGCACAATTTGCTTTGTAGCTTCAATAACTGTCTTTTCCTTAGTAACCACTAATATTGTGTCCTTTTCTAACGTATCGTCTTTGTCCTTATTTTTACTTTCAATATTTGATTCCTCATTGTCTTTATTTTCAACTAATTTTACCTCGTTATCAAACTTCACCAGTTCACCCGGACTACCGGAAGTATCACCATGTTGATTTATCCTCCAATAAATAAATCCGATAATTAAACTAATGTAAAAGAAACGCCATATACGTTTTCTAAGCGACCTCATTTCTACTGGGTTGTCCTGTAATTTAGGACCCTTCATATATATACCACACTATAAATAAAATGAACAATGTCTTGATTTTTTGTAAAAATATATATATAATAAATAATTTCTTGATTGTTTAAAAATTTAATTGTGTATTGTCAATTACCGAAGCGCTAGTATACGATCTGTGTATTTAGGGAGCTACGAGTACCCGTTAACACACTACTGAAAGTTATCGCTTATTGTTTATGGTTTAGCTCTGTTCAAATATAGGATTCCCATGTACAATCAACTATTATAACATATAAGCAGTCATCTGGTATCGCGAATAAAAAAATCTTGAACGCTCGGTATTCAACTAAAGGTTCCAATAATTATTAAATCTTAAATTCTTTTCAAAATGCCTGATATCTTTGTGTATTTTTCTCCTTCAACGACGACCACGTCGATCGTATTATTAATAAACACACCGCTGACTTGTTCAGATATTCAAATTGTTATAATCCAATATTTGATGGTGTGGTAGAAATTAATCCAAGATTTCGATCTTCCAGGATATCTATTGAACATACGTACACATATTTCAGCGAGGAATCGTGCCAGAGCGCCAACCGACACGTCAAAACAAATCTTGGGAAAAGAAACAGACTGGAATGTATAATATAATCGTAAGCACGAATTAAAAAATTTCACAAGAATAAGGCAAATAATAGTCGACCGGCAACAGATGGTTCCCGTTTCAATTTAGTCGATATGTTGAGTGAAGAAATGTGTTGTGGGATATTTATATACTGACATGTGTCTGAATCCTTTTCCTTTCCAGAACATCTGGTGTCACTCACTACTCGAGATATCAAGTGCATCGTCATTTCCTCTCTGAATATATGGTACACTATTTTGTGTAACGAACACTATCAACTATTTTATTCAATCCTTATTAAGAAAGGTGAAATACAATCAAAAGAACTTTGTCTAAAAAATGCATTATGTAAGAGCTAAATCTGTCCATCGCAGGTCTTTATTTTGGAAATAAATGAAATGAAATGGGGTTTAACGTCCTACTGTTCTGCTCCTAAACTGGGTTAATGAAGACGGGCATACGCCATACAGTGTGCTATGAGGGAAATTTTGCACGGGCAGCGGCACTACGGCCTTCTCTTATATCGAATTCCAACTGCCAAGGGATCTTTTACGTGCACGCCAATGTGTACACGGGACCTCGGTTTTTCGTCACATCCGAACGACTAGAAAGTTGTCCTTGTCAGGCCCCCCGTCCTGCATCACTGACAAGGGGAAACCACGCCAGAAAATCTGAATGAACTTTCTCGGCCAATGCAGGGATCGAACACCCGACCTCCAGGCTAGCGAGCCAGCGTCTTACCCACTTAGCCACGTGATCCCCCCCCTTTATTTTGGTTACAGATGTTATATAAATTATTATTTAGACATTTATTAATATAACAACCCTATAATCATCTCTCTAAATCCAGCGGAGGACCGTGATTTAAATATTTAAATAGATTAAAACACCCCAAGATTGAGATAATACGTGTAGTTGGGTAGGGAGGGGGGTGATCAAAGAAGGAAATTAAAAATAAAAATATTTTATTACATTGAAACTGCCCTTGGTTTATAAAGTTTATTTGATCTGATTTTCTTTTTGAGTCTAAACTTGAGAACAGACACTAAGCTAGTTGGCCGACATTTTAAGTCCTAAATCGACAATTCTAGTCGAAAACACTAAGTAAACCTTGAGAATGTATTTAATTAGTTACTCTGCTTCCATTTAATGACACAAGGCCTGTCATTGAGTCAACTGGCGTGGTTTCGAATCCCGGGTGGTACGTGACAAGGAGTAGGGTCGCCTGTCCAGCCTCGTGGGTTTTCTAAAGACCCCTACGCGCAAGCGAATTATTGAAATAAAATTAAACCATGTGTTAGTCCCGAAATGACCTAGTTTGTGTCGAGTGGATGTTAAACCCCATTTCTCTCTCTCTCTCTCCATTTAATGAAGTTGAAAAAGTTTATTTAATCTTTAGTTTGTGTGTACGCCAGATGTAAAAAGGGTAGAACAGCATTACAAAACAGTATACTAATTTTTGGATATGGCGGCCATTTAGGACAGGGATCTATTCTCGAAGTAGGAAGTAAATGGATCTCTGTGGGCAGGACACCGACAAAGCTCTGCAAGCCACTGGTTAAAACAGTACACATTTTGTACTGCTTCTGAACGATCTATCTCGCAAGCGGCCAAACTATGTGAAGTAATCAATAAAGTGCATTACAATGGCTCTCAAAGTGACGCAATAAGCGGACATTACTAGGGTAACGTGGCAGAATAAAGGTTGTATCCGTGACAAAAATAGTAACAGGTGTTTCTACGTATAAGCGACACCTCACCTTAAACTGTGCGACTCGTATTCAATAGTTGATGGTCAACCTATTGGAATATATCCCTAAACGGCACAACAACTTAAAGGAGCTAAATCGCTAATATTTGGGACCTAGAAATTGACCCAAATGGGTCGAAACGCATATAATAATGTATTCTGATTGTATATAAACTGATTTACATTCAATTGTTTCCTTTTTGACTCTTATTTCAAATCAGTTATGTCCAGAGAAATACCGCATGTGTCTCAACCCTATAGCAATTTCTAGCGTCTGGTCATTCCAGTCTATTAAGCAGGCTCTCCAGTTGAATATGTCTAGCCTCGTTCTTTCTGGTCACTTGTTGCAAATGACGCTAAAACGCACTATGGTACACGATTCGTGTACCAATGGTAAAATGTTTATTTTGTCTTAAATATTGGATATCAGAAGCCTGCCTTTTTCTGGTAAGATCACAACGTTAATGTTGATTTGAATTGACAAATAATTCGTATTTTCAACGTGTAAAAGTTTGGATGATATTGAGTTACAGACTTAGCAACTTTAATTAGAACAAAAAAATACTACATATTTCCTTTTAAACGTCTAGTTTATTCATGTTAACTTTAAACAAGAGGGTTCTGATCCAGTCAATACCAATGCCATCCGATGATCTTGAGAGTTGATTATACGAGGAAAACGCGAGTTATCCTGCAATGTAATCGACTGAAGTGACAAGTTATCCCAGATACACGGGCGAATTTCTGCTCACTAACAATTCCTTCGAAGACCAAAAGTTGTTATGTGAGACTGTAAGAAGATATCTGACAATTCAAAAAAGTAATTGAATGTGACTAGATAAAGAGAAAACGAGAAAAATGAAATCTTCATTACGCATCTGTCTCACTCACGGTGTTGGCCGGGAAAGTTCATCGGGATTTTTCGGTATGGATTCCCCTTGTCAGTGGTTCAGGACGGAGGGCCTGACAAGTCCCTCGGATAGGACGAAAACCGAGTTCCCGCGTACACATTGGCGTGCACGTAAAATATCCACTGTCCGGGCAAAATTTCCCTCATGGTACACAGTATGGCGAATGCCCGACTTCATTAGCCCAGTCGGAGCAAAACATTAGGACGTTAAACCCCATTTTATTTCATGTGCTACATGTAATTCATGTTTTATAATTACATTTAACTGATTATCCCTCATAAGTGTTGGAAACCAAGGTCCCGTAATGAACCCTTAAATGGGAATATGATTTCGACGGAGAGTATGAGGAGACTCTCGTAGTTGTTTAATTAATTTTATCAAAACCTCTTTGTCATTTAATTGTTTTTGGCTTGTTTTTATTTTAGAATCAAACCGTGATGTGTGGTTAGTTGATGGAAGTATTATTGGAGTGGGCGTTGGGGTTGTTCTCAGGATAGAATATACCAATTATAAACACAGAAAACATACAAATATCCCCCCCCCCACATATATATGAAATGAATTAAGAGATATAAATGTAATCCCCCAATGTGAAGGTTTTTTCGTTGTGTATATGTTACAAAATATATAATAGAATGACCTAATTTAATCTATAAACGTACGAGATTTTCCATTTCACAAGACGTGTGCTCAAAACTCGAGACCTGACTCAAATATCCCCTTTTGATTCGCTTTCAATACACCATCTACCAGCATATATTTTATTACATCTTGCCTGTAGATTGACAGTTAAGTACTCTGCGTCCCATGTAGACATTGCCGTGCACGTAAAAGATCCCTTGACAGTTGGAATTCGATATAAGAGTAGACCGTGGCATCGCTGTCCGGGCAAATTTCCCTTATAGGACACTCATGGCGTATGTCCGTCTTTATTAGTCCAGTCGAAGCAGAACCGTGGGACTTTAAATCCCATTGAGTTTCACTGCAGTTATATATTATAAGAAAACAGTCAAACATGACATGCAAAGGTTTTCATTCATTATTTGTGGATGGAAACACACGTTATCTCCCTTGAATCAGTAACCTTATTTTGTCAATATAACACAGTTTTAAATAAAACCAAGACGACCTGTCCAGTTTAAAATTGTAATGCTAATAACAATATGCCAAGAAAGGGCTACTCTAAGCTCCTTTTGCTATTTATCAATAAAAATATGTTTATATATGCTGGATTGTCCAATTTACTAAACCGATCTCACAAGGAAAACGCGGTGGTTCAGCGAGTAAGACGTTGGCTCGTTAACTTGGAGATCCGGTTTTCGATGTTGGCCGACCGAAAAAGTTCAGTGGGAGTGGCACCTCATAGCACACTGTATGGCGTATGGCCGTCTTTTTTGTTTTGTTTCTAGCTCAGTCGGGGCAGAAAAGTAAGACGCTAAATCCCATTTTATTTCACCGATCTCATAACAGTTTAACAATAACTGGTAATTTAGATTTGTGTCAGATAACCAGCATCTATATCAGTATTAGCAGAAAGGTCGTTTTCATCTGCAACGACCTTTATGAAGGAACGGCACACATAGCCGTCTTAACAGCATTATAGGCCGTGGGACAAAACATTGCACGGAGTCCCCTACCTACCCCACAACCACTCACAGGAATAAAAATCTAAATGTTCTATAAACTTAAACAGATATTTATTGTATTGGTACTTCCAACCTAATCAGTGTATTAAACAAATGAAAAACATAATGTACCGCTAAGATGGTGCTCCTATTCCCAGAGTGCCCATGCGTTAAGACGGCGCTGACGGCGCCAATCAACTTTAAGTATTCTCTCACGTTATTTATTCGTGTGTGAATTAAAAACTGTTGAATGCGCCCGCTGGTACATATTTATTAATGAGATATGACCTTAATTATACCATACACTAATACGAACTGCGGTGGCTTAGTGAGTAATACATTGGCTCGCTAACCTGGATGTTCCGTGTTTGACTCCTGTGTTGGCCGAGAAAGTTCATCGGGATTTTCCGGCGTAGTTTCACTTTATCTCAGTAGTGCAGCAGGGCAGAGGGTCTGACAAATGGATAACGTTTAATCGTTGGAATGGAGCGTAAACATCGGCGTGCACGTAAAAGAACCCTTGTCAGTTGGAATTCCATATAGTTGTATGGAGTATACCCGTATTTATTAGCACAGTTTAAGCAGAATGGGTTAACGCATGCGCTTTAGATCATAATGTTTGTCATCGAATCAAATGGTGTACGTGCGTGGCAAGGAGTGGGATTGCCTGTCCAACCTCGTGGGTTTCCTCGGGGTCCCTCGGTTTCTCCCCACTGCTAAAATTCCCAGCACGCAAGCGAATTATTGAAATAAAATTGAACCATGTGTTAGTCCTAAAATGACTTAGTTTGTGTCGAATGGACTTTAAACCCCAATTCCCCCACCCCCATTCATATATCTTTGTGAAATGTATAAAGTCTGTTAAATTCATTGAATGAAGAATGCTATTGATGTTTGATTATAACTAACATAGTTATTTCCCCTTGTAGCACGCCAGAGACTCGAAGTATGATTTCATCTTTCTGAAATTTATATTTTGTTTTTATCTATGATATCGAACAAAATAATTCTTTCAAATTTCAATGATGTTTCGATAATAGCTTCCAGAGCTATTCCCCTTTGTTACGATATCATTTTAGTAACATATAGAAGCTTCAGTTATTATTTTGTGGGTTGTTTGATTCATTCTAAAATAATTTATGTATATTTTAAAATGATATCGGTTGCCTAACTGATTGACACGAAGAATCCTTTTGATTGTCAATATGCTCATTGCCAGATTTTCAATAATACCTCCTATAGTAATTCCCCATTGACATGAAATCCTGTTAGTCCTGTATAGGTAGGTTTTAACTAATGATCATTTTGGAAATTTGATGAAATGACGACTTGGCTGCTTATAGGCATGTTTTTTGTTATATGTCATTTTAGTTAATAGTTAACATGAGAAGAATCTAATTCAGTCGAGTTTGGGGGTCACGGTGTCTAAGTGGGTAAGACGCTGGCTCGCTAGCCGGGAGGTCGGGCGTTCGATCCCTGCATTGGCTGGGAAAGTTCATCCAGATTTTCCGGCATAGTTCATCAACCATACATTTGAAATCAGCATCAGATCTACGATTTGAATTTTTTTTTATAAACAATATTTTATTCACAGAAAAGGATTGAGGAACAGACTAGGCCTATATTACCTTTCTCCTATATGACAGAAAATATATACAAAAAGACTATATAAGCATGCTATGATAAAATCAATCTAAATAGTATAAGAATAAAATGAACAAAAAAGAGCTATGTACATATTTACAATTTCAGGTTTGCCATATTCATATTTTTAGCTACCAGATAAAAGTTTTAATTAAACCTTCCGGAGATGTCTAGAAATCTATGGACTTGTTTAAAGATAATACTTGAAATAATAATATCGCCAGTGCCTTTTAATAATGTCTATATTGAAATCACGTTTTGGGGTAAGGTAAAAATTGGGTGTATTCCCACGAAGGCGCAGTTACAGAGCGTGACCGAAATTAATCCTTCCCACGAAGGCGCAGGTATCGACTTGTCGGCTTTCGTTTGAAGCGAGGCATGTTGCTATTAGGACCCAATTAACGGTGTTAAAGATTTTATGAATTTATGTTCACTCTGAACCAAGAACACTCTGGAAGGATGGCATGCAAGAATCAAAAAGCTAGTTGGAAAAGCCCATCCGAATGTTTTTGAAATGATCACATTTTTTACACCAAGAACAAAATATTAACCACCAAGGAAGAGATATAAATATGCTCAAATCCAAAGCCAGCTCCAGGAATTAAAAGGAAGACACGAGGAAGAGGAATTAACTTTAGTCGAGTATTTAGACAGGGTGTCTTATTTGGCGAAATTGAATTAATTTTTGTTATAGTGTAGTTATGTTTTCATTTCTTATGCCAAAATGATGCTAAAATGTTGGTTAATTAGTTACATTGGGGATTATGAGAGTGTAAATTCTTATCATAACAATCTATAACACCATTGTTACGATTTTAATCCATTTTAATCCCTAGGAGCTGGATTCCAACGAAGTCGTCGAAAACGACCCCGTTTAATCCGTTACGGTCAATAACTGCGCCTTCGTGGGAATAAACCAAAAATTGAATGTTTACGTGCATCGGAATGTAGAGGACAGGTTAAAAGGTAATGTTCGGCATCTTCAAAATCATGACCCCAAGGACATACAAGGCTGTCTGAGATGTGCCTTAAGAACTTATGACCATTTAAGTCACTACAGGAAAGGTGAAGTCAACAATGTAAAATCTGATTTTTTCTTTTTCCTGAACTTAAGTATGATGGCGCCTGTTTGTCATGTTTAACATGGATTTAGGCCAATAAATAATTTATTCAATTGTTCACAATGGACTTAATCATTTTTGTAGAAATTTGTTAACTAATCATTAATTAATTCATTTTGTTAAACTCACCCATGTATAATGTTGATGGTACGTTTATCTGTCCATTTCTTTGCATTGCTTGGAAGCGATACCTTCTGTATGTGAATTTGAAACCCTACCAATTGCTAGAAATTGAGATCAGTACAATATAATAATCGTTGTAATTTGTGACCAATAAAATAATAATATCATTTCTGTATTTGGTGTGTTCTTTTTGAGGTGCTCTCTTTGGTATACTAGACTTTTGCTATGATCATACTTATTTTATTTTTATAATTTTATATTTCATGTATAATGTATAAGTGCTTAGTTTGGAGGGCCAACGTCTGCGCGTTGAATCATAAGATCTGCCATTGAGTCAAGTGGCGTGGTTTCGATTTCTTGCTTATACGTACTAGGAGTGGGGTTGTCTGTCAAGCTGATTAAAACACAGATCCTATTTTGTTTCATTTTTTATAGTTCAAAATTTTGTTTTACTTGTCTTTACTACACTAGGATGATGTGAAGAATTAGCCAATGATGCGAAGAATTAGCCAATGAAACCGTCTGTTACGGCGAGATCTGATTGATTAATCAATATCTGACGTCATAGGTTCAAAAGCCGTGAACTCCCACTATAACTTGTCAGATCTTCATGTTATGTAGGCCATAGAAAGTATAAAAAACGAAATGAAATATAGATCTGTATTTTAATCAGATTGGGTCGCCTGTCCGACCTTGTGGGTTGTCGTCGGCCCTTCGATTTCCTCCCACTGCTAAAGACACATATGCGCAAGCGAATTATTGAAATAAAATTGAACCATATGTTAGACCCGAATGACCAAGTTTGTGTCGAGTGGACGTTAAACCCCATTTCTTTCTCTGTCTGTTTAATTATCTGACGATATATGATAATCTGTGCGTGGCACGTCTAAATAGCAAATCACACCCAATTGTACTTTCTATTGTGCTGCAATATTCAGTACACACTTATTTTGTATTGTATAGTTTAGAATGGGATGTTCTTATTTTGTCCACGTGTAAATTAAAAGCCTGTCGACAAGGTGGGGGGGGGGGTCACAGTGGCTAATTGGGTAAGACACTGGCTCGCTAGCCTGAAGGTCGGGTGTTCGATCCTTGCATTGGCCGAGAAAGTTCATCCAGATTTTCCGGTGTGGTTCCCCCTTGTCAGTGATGCAGGACGGAGGGCTTGACAAGGACAGCTGTCTAGACGTTCGGATGGGACGAAAAACCGGGGTCCCGTGTTCACGTAAAAGATCCCATGGCAGTTGGAATTCGAGCAAAATTTCCCTCATAGCACACTGTATGTCGTATGGCCGTCTTCATTGGCCGAGTTCGGAGCAGAGCAGTAGGACGTTTACCCTATTTCATTTCATTTCAATTTGAGTTTTCCCCATTATTTCAATTAGTTTATAAAATCACATGAAAAACTTCCCAAGCTCGTTTATAAATAAAAGTTTACAAAATAGCTCGTAAAGTGTATACGTTATAGGCCCATAACGACCTAGTAAATGTTTAAAAGGAATTATTTTTTTGAAATGAAACGACTCAGTATATAGTTTTACGCAGGTATCTAAACAAGGATGTTTTTGCTTGTCACTCGTTGCAAAAAGGGTTGCAATAGTATGCGTATTCAAGATTTACCGTGAAAGCCCGATTTCTGCTAATTTACTGCGTGACTTGGCTAATTTATTTTTAGGACTATATCACCCTAAATGCACGATGTTGATTGGCTGAATGTGTCATTAAATAAGCTTGTTAGGAACGAGCGATACAGTCGACAGTTTGCCAGCTTTAAAGATAACCACTGGTTGTGCATAACTGGGAGAAAAACGTAGATTGCGGTTGTTCAACTTGGAGCAAACTACAGATTGCAGTTGTGTGACAAGGAAGAAACTACAAGTAGTACTATTTAGCGTGAGTAGCTAGTTATATCTTAATTTAAGATTTGAAAGACCACTTTCGTTTTTACATGTGTACACGTTTTATGTACATTTTGATAATGTCAAGCGCTGCGTTTTGAATGTCCAACCTCTAAGATTTCTAAAGAAATGCAGAATTTCAAAAGGCCCCGTAAATAATTCCATCAAGTCTTAAACCACCAAAATCAAAGATAGTTGGCGCCACGGTGGCACAGTAATTAATGCGCTGAATCACTAGCCATGGAATCCGGGGCTCGATTCCGGTGTTGCCCGATAATATTCCTCGGGACCTTCCAGTCTGGTTTCCCCATTATCCCGGTTGGTGCAGAATAGTAAGAGGTTAAACCCCATTTAAACGACGAGTGAAGCTGTCTGCGTACCAGTACAAAACCAGCTGACAACAACAAAAATAAATTGTTTTTTTAAAAAGTTGACAAACTAACAAAGACCACATATAGAGTGCATCTTAATATGTTATGTTTCAAGAGGCGATAAGCCAGAATAAGTTGTCATTATTAATTAGTTTGAAATCAGATTTATTAATACGTAGATTCCACATGACGTCATAAGATAACGGTCGTCTGGTCATCCGCCATCTTTGGGGCCCCACTATTGATATTTACACTCGATTTGTCATATGGTAAAAGCTATACAAAATTATAACACAAAAGTTAATACCTGTGTTAATTTTGGGTGTCATAACAGGTCAGATCAAGGACCACTGAAAAGAATAGTTAACGCGTGTGCGTTTGATCATAAGGTCTGTGATTGAGCCAAGTAGCGTGGTTTCGATTCTGCACTTGTACGTGACAAGGAGTAGGGTCGCCTGTCCAGCCTCGTGGGCTTTCTCCGGGGCCTCCGGTTTACAATAGGGACAATTTTATCAGAGGATCAATGATCAAACATGTTTACTTTGAATTATCATTACCATTTTCAGTATACTTTTTTTTATGACCATATTATTTTCAAAGTAAATAAAACACGGATACCTTACTTCCTGCATTAATATAAACAAACATGAATCGTGACGACGAATTAGAATTAATTCACAAAAAAATGGATATGACCAATGAAGAGAGAAATTTTACAATAAAAAATAAGAGTGTTGGATATTAAACTGGCATGCAATTAAATGGATTTTTTGAAAATAAATTCTTGAATTATTTTCATGGACGTCAACATCTTGTTTTCTACCCCTAGTTAACCCCCTTAGACTTTGTTTATGATAATGAAAAAGACTGGATTATCTAGCCAATGACCTATTTTTCTAAAATGTTTACAATGTATCCAGATTAATAATTGTAGAATATTTTTCTGTATGATAGAGACTATTGCCAGGTCCGCTATCCTGAATAAATAGTATCAATTTTCAAGGTTATATACATTTTTTTTTTTACACGGAATTAGACTGTTAACAAATCACGACATACAATAAGACATTTGTCGGGTAAGGCCTACTACTACGCTTACTCATGTAAAGATAATTTTAAGATGTAATTTTTCTCGTAACAGGTGGGGACATATTCTATCGAAAGGTTTGTTTATTCCTAAACAGACAAAGAGACCGACATGCCTCGTAAGTATTTACCCTGTGACAAGGGGTTCTTCTTACATAACTGCCACATAAATGTGTATGTGCGCCTTACATTATAGCGCAAGACATACTAAAACGAGATAACAAAGAGCATACTTGATAAAATATATAAATAATAATTGTTATTTAAATACAATATACATGTAATTAGAAATAAAAATACATGTAATTAGAAATTAAAATAGCTCTGGATAATGTTTCGTTCTCTAAATCATTGGATTAGTGAAATCAAATTGAAACAACATTAGTATCAAAGTTTCTGTTGAGTGGATGTTCAACCTCATTTCCCTCTATGTCTCTCATTATTCAGAACTTCAACGATACAGGGCTGTGGTAGTCGGTAAGACGGGCGTTGGGAAGAGTTCGTTATGTAATCGCATTGCCAACAACAACTTCTTCAGGACGGGTACAAGTATTTCATCCGTGACCAGGAATCCACAAAAGGTAGTGGTGCAATTAAATGATATGCAAGTCTGTGAATTCACTGACATGCCTGGATTGTTTGATACCTATCGGACTCCAGAAGAGATGGAGAAGATACTTGGTAGCTGTGTAGAACTATCTCTGCCCGGTCCTCATGTATTTGTGTACGTTATCACCATCGCCTCCAGATTTACTGAAGAAGACAGACAAACTCTCCTGAAACTAAGCCAAATATTTGGAGACGATGTTTTCAGATACATGCTGGTCATTTTCACCTCCAAAAATAACCTGAACCATTCCAGTCAAAGTGAAAGCCAGTATATTGCAGACTTTGTATACAACCTATGTCGTCCAGGACAAGCCCAGTCGCAACATATTGGGTATTTGATAGGTGCTTTGAATGAAGGAAGGTACGCATTTATTGAATGTTATGGCTCAGAAAGCGCAAGTCGACCAGATGTAATTGGTGTTTACACGAAGATTAATCAGATAATAACAGCAAATCAGGGTGGACACTACACAAGCCAAATGTATCAGGATGCCGTCAGAAACCTGGTTTGGGAAGAACGTAAATCAAATCTGAGGTAATATGAACAATATGATCATAATTAGATATTCTGTATATAAGGAAACGAGTTTTTTCTTCGTTATTTTCGAATAAGGAAGCACAATTTACCTGCACACAACCATTAAAATTGAGACGTTAACGCAGCGTGTAAAGTGAAACGTCAACGCAGCGAGTAAAATGAGGTCTTAGCATAGCGAGTAAAATGAGACCTTAACATAGTGAGTAAAATGGGTTTTTTGTATGAGCTGGTCGTAAAGCTGCAAGTTAATTACAACGTCGAATTGCCTCCGGTCTTTACAAGCACGACCATTTACTAAAGTAAATAACATTTTACTTAAGTAAATAATATTTTTGCCTTATCTCGTTTACCCGAAAAACGGCCCCTTCGAATTCTCCTTTCTGTCTTCTATAGTAATATTTTTTTGTCGCGTGGGGGTCATTTGCCAATTCGATGGCAACTTTTTCAATCATTGCTGTTTTTTAAACGTTTCAGGACATGTGGAAAATATGCTGTGGCTGGGTTAGCTGGTGCTGCTGTGATAACAGGTGGTTATTTCGCTTGGCCTTATGTCTTCGGCACCACCGCACCTGCAGCAGTGGGACCCGGTGCAGCGACTGGAAAAGCGGCTGCTGGCGCCGGTGTATTGGCGACTGGAAAAGCGACTGCTGGCGCCGGTGTAGTGGCGACTGGGGAAGTGGCTGCTGGAACAGGTGTAGTGGCTGGGGAAGTGGCCGTTGGAACAGGTGTAGTGGCTGGGGAAGTAGCTGTTGGAACCGGTGTAGTGGCTGGGGAAGTTGCTGTTGGAACCGGTGTAGTGGCCGGGGAAGTGGCTGTTGGAACCGGGGTAGTGGCAGGGGAAGTGGCTGTTGGAACCGGTGTAGTGGCCGGGGAAGTGGCTGCTGGAACCGGTGTAGTGGCTGCCGTGGCAGGAGCTGGGGTGGCCGCTGGTTTGATGAGAGCCCAAAATGAAAGTCAGAACAGTGAAGAACATTACAACTCTTAAATCCAGTCGCCACGAGATCCTCTAACTTTACGTATGGGGTAGATATTTATTTCACTACTTAGATGCAACATCCCGTCGATCGCCATTTCCGTCAATTACAATAAAAATGTTATTTTTATATATGGTTGCATTTTGAATATGGCGATTTTTATATAGTAGCTTGTTTTCCTTGTGGCGATAATGTTTTTCACAGAAGGTTTTGTAGGTTTTATTTATTTGTCACGTCCATCCGTTCCGATCCATTACACGTGGTGAGTCAATCACTCAATTGTTTGATCAGTAATATGACTATCTATAATATGTATTTTAATCAGTCTGGGATTAATGTGTATTAGAATTTTACGATAAGACCAATAAGAAACTAATGAAGATGTGCTGAAATGAAAAGAAATGAAATGGGGTTTAACGTCCTACTGTTCTGCTCCAAACTTGGCTAATGAAGACGGGCATACGCCATACAGTGTGCTATGAGGGAAATTTTGCCCGGACAGCGGCACTACGGCCTATTCTTATATCGAATTTTAACTATCAAGGGATCTTTTACATGCACGCCAATGTGTACACGGGACCTCGGTTTTTCATCCCATCCGAACGACAAGACAGGCTTGAAGATGTGCTATTCAGTATTCTTGAATAAGCGATAAACAAAATACGTGCGCGTTAGACCACAGGGTCTGTCATTGGGTCAAGTGATGTAGTTTCAATTCAAAGCTTAAACATGGCAATGAGTCTCCTCTGTTCTCTCCAGGTTCTCCGGTTTCACCCCACTGCGGTCAAGCGAATTACTGAAGTAAAATTGTATCATATATAGTCCGGAAATGACCTAGTCTGTGTCGAGTTGACGTTACGACTCGAACCCACTCTCTCTCGCCCCAGAGTAGTTTATATACCACAGCAATGGATTTCTATCTTTACATTCAGAAATTTGTGTGTTTTAGTTTTGAATCCTTTCAGCTTTTAACCTCTCCTTAGTTCTGTTTGCTTTTCTTCAATTATTGTAGAAAACGTTTAAAATAAAAAAAAAATCAGTGAAACATTTATAATAGGATTTTCCCATAACTGAAATTTCTATTGCTTTTTTATGGACTGTATTTAGAAAAAAAGCAATGACTGAAATTTGGCAAGGTTAGTTGATTTCGTTGTCATTACATGAGAGTTTTCAAACTGGGAATACCCACCTAACAATAACAAGGTCAACGCTTTCTTATTTGAAAACCAATTCATAAAACGGGGACAACCATACTGAGAATAGCCGTAACATAATAACAATCGGAGAGGCCAGTTTTCTTTCAATGGAAAACCAGTCTAAGACAATTCAAGTGTTAGCTCGTGTGCGTTGTATCATAAGGTCTGCCATTAAGTTAACTGGCGTGGTTTTGATTCCCCGGTTGTACGTGACAAGGAGTATAGTCGCCTGTCCAACCTCGTGGGTTTCCTTCGGGGCCCTCGGTTTCCTCCACTGCTAAAGACCCCTACGTGCAATAAAATTGAACCATATGTAATTCCCGAAATAACCTAGTTTGTGTCGAGTGAACGTTACGCCCATTTTTCTCTCTCTCATTCGGAGGACGTTGATTTCATTTTCAGAACAGTATTGCCATTAAACAATCAGAGATACATTACCAAGTACGGTCACTGTAAGTTATCGTAGTAAACAGGTTACACGTATTAAATAGGTTACAACCTGCTGGTTAAAGGAGCTAAGTCTCTAACTCAATATCATCCAAAGTCTTCGACATTGAAAACACGAATCATATTTCAATTTAAATCAACATTGATGTTGTGATCTTACCGGGAAAAGATGGGCTTCTGATATCCAATATTTCAGAAAAATAAACATTTTGCCCCGGTACACGACTAGTGTACCATAATGCGTTTCAGCGTCATTTGTAACAAGGGGCTCGAAGAACGAGGCTAGACATATTCCACATGGCATGTCAAACGGTGACACCATATTCTTATCTGGACAGCATGCGCAGTAAATACTATCGATGTAGACTGGAATAACTAGACTTCTGGTGTATTTCGCCGAACATAACTGATTTGAAAACGGAAACGATTGAATGTAAATCAGTTTATATACTTTCATATTACATTATTATATGCGTTGCGACCCATTTGTGTCAATTTCTAGGTCCCAAATATTAGCGATTTAGCTCCTTTAAGTCCTATTCACAGATTTATGTTTCTGTTTCTACACAATTTAGGAATTCTCTCTCTCTCTCTCTCTCTCTCTCTCTCTCTCTGCCCGCCTCTCTGTAGTGTTATAGGGGCGTGGTTACAACTGATATTTGTTAGGAGTGTGGTTACAATTGATATTAATCCATCAGTGACACGTGACCATAATGTATCGCCTTGCAATGACGTCCTATTTTTCTGCACCGACGATGGGCAGACGCCACAAAGTATATGAGAGAAAATTGTGCCCAGACTGTGGGGTTATGGCCTATTCTTGATTCCAATTCCAACAGCCAAGGATCATTTTATGTGCATTCGTGGATCACGTGGCTAGGTGGGTAAGACGCTGGCTCGCTAGCCTGGAGGTCGGGTGCTCGATCCCTGCATTGGCCGAGAAAGTTCATCCAGATTTTCCAGCGTGGTTGCCCCTTGTCAGTGATGCAGGACGGAGGGCCTGACAAGGACAACTGTCTAGTCGTTCGGATGGGACGAAAAACCGAAGTCCTGTGTACACATTGGCGTGAAGGTAAAAGATCCCTTGGCAGTTGGATATAAGAGTAAGCCGTAGTGCCGCTGCCCGGGCAAAATTTCCCTCAAAGCACACAATATGGCGTATGCCCGTCTCCATTAGCCCAGTTTAGGAGCAGAACAGTAGGACGTTAAACCCCATTTTATTTCATTTCATGTGCATTCGAACGACTAGACACTGTTCTTGTCTAGTGGTTTAACGCGTGCGCTTGAAATCATAAGGACTGTCTTTGGGTCAAATAGTGTGGTTTCGATTCCCCGCTTGTACTAATTAACAAGGAGAAGGGTCGTCTGTTCTGCTTCGATTGGGCTAATGACGACGGTTATGATTGCGGAGGATGATAACGGATGTTTTAGACTACAGTGCGCGTAAGAAGGCCATGGCTTCAGTGCGTGTAAGAAAGGATTATGGCAGAGTCCAAAATATTTAACACCTTGGTCGGAGGTCCCCAAAGATCTTGAGGCCTCATCTAGGTTTCAACCTGCTTCAACATTCGCTGTCTTGGCCACGGGGATATTATAAATATTTAGTATTGAACATGGGTCGGAAAAGTACACCACGTGTTCACTGATTGTTCAACAATTTGTCATGGGTAGGTGTTGTACGATATTTTACACGGACGTCAAAAAGAAAATAACCCAAATCGATAAGAAAACTTCCCGGTTTCCGAGTCACACAGAAGCTATTTGTTAAATATTATATATCATCATGTCACGCTCGACTGCATGTTTATTTAGCTAAACATATCGATTCTGTAAGCTTGTTTATCGAGATACTAACGGGGTCATCCCGTTACGCCCCTGCTATTGTTCTCGTGGTATTTCACCGAGAAATAATCTTTCTGATTTATGTTACATATGACTGCACATCCCTTATTTTCCGGGGGTTTCGATTCCCCGGTTGTACGTGACAAGGAGTAGGGTCGCCTGTCCAACATCGTGGGTTTTCTCCGGGTCCTCCGGTTTCCTCCCACTGCTAAACACCTTACGCTCAAGCGAATTATTGAAATAAAAAATTGAACCATGTGTTAGTCCCGAAATGACATTGTTTGTGTCGAGTGGACGCTAAACCCCATTTCAGTCTCTCTCTTTCTTATTCTCCGGGAAAGAGAATATCTCCTATCAAATGACTATTTGGTACATATGACGTCACATCGGTTATTCCCCGAGAAGGAATATTTCTAGAGAAACTGCACGGACTATTTTCATTTAATAAAATTTCTACATAGTAATATATCGAATTAAAAGCGATACCACACCCTGCATTCCCCGAGAAATATAATTCCTAGAAAAACCTGAGTATATATAAATATAAGAAAGCTTAAAGATGAAATATGACCACGTCATGAAACTATCTTTTTCTAGGAGAGGAAAACCGGTGCACACCAGTATGTGATAGTTCGTCGAATGCGAGATTTTTTTTGTTCACATAACAGAATGTAAAGGGGCCCATACACGTTTAAAAAAACCGTCAACAAAAATTTTGAATCAAAATTTCGATGAGATTTTAACCGTGTATGCGGCGTTTTGATGTCAAAAAAGGGCATTGGCTCAAAACTCTGACGGATCAAAAACCACTTTTGATATTTATTGACGGGTCGTCAATATTTTGAAGCATGTGTGGGCTCCTGTCAAAATTTTGAACAAAATTTCATTTCGCACCGACTGCCGAGGTATGAGGATCACCATGTCTTGGAAGAAAGCAGCAGAAAAGTTTCTGATTGAAGTGCTAAATGTGTAGAAGACCTTGCCAGCCCAGTGGAAAATTAAGTCGCCAAACTACAGTCATCAGGACAAGAAAGAATTTTTCTTTTTTGTGTGGGTGTACTCAAAAACCCAACTTGGATATAAAAAAATTGCTACAATTTAGATTCAAAACAAATTTGTGTCAGTTTTCTCCAAATTGTTTTATATAAGAGTTATATTTAGCGTGGATCACGCAAGAAAGAGAGATACAGCAAGCTAAATTGCGAAGCTCAGCTTTCACGCCCTCGGTTGGCCATCCATCGTAAACCCATCGTCTCGGTCAGTTGCCCGGCTTACAGTCTTTTTGGTTCATATTGTATTCACGAGGAAATATCCCAAGGTATAAAAAAATCTAATAAATGAAGCCATGTTTTTGGCACGGGACTTGACTGTCGCGGTAACTAGCAACGGAAGCGAAGCCGGGGGAGAATTCAGGGCATATAAAAGACGATGTTGTATTTAATATCGAAGCCTAAGTAAATTCTCGGATTATTCCCAGCCCGTTTCCTTTCCTGTGGTTTTGATCCCAGAAGCTGTTGTGAGTTTAAGTTTCTCACTTTTTCCATGTCCGGTCACCATCAAGTTTATCAACATATTATACACCTAGCGCTCCCTAACGCAAAGATGCCATACAATCTACGCGTGCAATCTTTGACGTCAATCGAACA